GTTGTTAAGAAGAACTAGAAATGCTCTTTGCTGCAGAACTTTAACATTAAGCTTTTTTAACCACTCTCACCATGTGCATCCTCGTTTTGCATGATGTGAAGATAAACCTCAGTGTCTATCCAGCTAACACCCTTTAAGCAGGTGTTAAAATGTTTTTCTTTATTAGTCTGACCTAATATGCTAGTTTTAGGTGTTGTATTTTCATCAGCTGAAACATGATAATAAATAACATACATAATGGCTTGAAACCAATGGCCTCTGTGTAATTTGAATATTTAGTGTTATACTTAGTTTCTTTACTTAACTAGGCCTAAACAGAATTGTGAGTCATAATTACATTTAAAACGGAAATAATTATCTGTCCGTCCATCCTTCAATCCATCCATTCTCTACTACTTGTCCATAAAGGTCCAGGGGGCTTATTCTGATCTCCAGCAGTTCTCATGCTGGTCAGGTCACCAGTCCATGGCAGATACTGTATATATCTAAAAGATATAACTTGGGTATATTCAACTTGTATGTCCAGTGAGGTTGCGTGTACTGTAAGTGCTTATCATTTTTTGAGAAAAATGAATTAAAAATACTTTTTAGTGTAAGATTATATAATAGTACTGTAATACTAATATATTTCAATCTGGAAAGTCAAATGAAGAGAAAGGACAATTAGGAGAAATTTATTGATACAATTACTTTGTCTTTGGCGCTCAGACCTCGGCAGGAAACATAGAGCTTAATTTTGATAGATATGCATGAACAGAATAGGGCTGTTTCCCCCAGGCCTGAAACTGGTGGTGGAGTGGAGATAAATTGGTCAGTCTGTAGACTGCTGATTAGCGAGACGGTATGCTGAGCTTTATGGGGAGATCCAGTCAATTATGTGAGCTGATACCAGAGCTTCACTCAGGGATCTGGAAGATGGAAGTCCAGTTGGATAACACAGGTTGAGAGGACCTGTCCATGATGAGCAAGCATGGAAAGACAGTGGAGAGGAAAAACTCCCCGTTGGGAAGAAACCTCTGGCAGAACCAGGCTCAACATGGCGGTCTTCTGACGGACCAGGTGAGATGAGATAGGGAAAGCAGTAGAATCCTGGAGGAATGACACTCTGATGAAGCTTTAGCTATGATGGTGGAGGAGGGGCTGGAGGTGGATTGAAACGGTGTCATCTGAATGAAGTCACACAGCGCAACCACCGCCTGCCCACAGGAGCAGACAAGAGACCATCGGAGGCCTTTTAAGATGAACTTTGGATGCCGATTGGCTTTCCTGGAGGTGTGGTTCTAAGCTGATTGGCTGTGTTCCTGGTGGTTGTAGTAGACAATTAGTTTCTTCAGTTGAACTTCTGCCTAGGCTCCATTTTAAATATTTATCATGGCCATAAGTTTTATACAAGAAAAAAAATGCTTTTAACAAATGGTCTAGCTCCAGCTCAAACTACTTTGGTACAGGTACATCATCATGTTCAGTCACAAACATGGTTTTTCTTTGACACTTAGATGACATATAATAGGTAATAGTCATTATAACAAGCATTGCATTGCTGATAGTGGACTTTCTACTGAGCATGTGTTAGAAAGAAGCTAAAGTGTGTAATCACATCACAAAATGCTGTAAATAAAATTAACATGTTAGACCTTTGGGTCTAACATGTTAATTCATATGCAGGCAGAAAGATTCAGTAAACAATAAATACTGACCTACAGTGGTTTACGTTTCTTTCTTAACATTGAAGTAGCCCCATACTTCCCCTCTGTATACGCTAAGTGTATGTGCATTTTTGAAGGAGAACTGCCCAACTAATCTCACACCATGATCAAGTTGGAGGATAATTAAATAAACAGAAAAAGAACAGTCACCCCTCATCTCCATTGATTCATTTGAAGCACTTAAACGCTTACTTGTGTCAGAGCACACACACATAAGGTCAATAGTCTAAAGCCCTATGTCTCTAAGAGCACATGTCTGATACTCCCACATCAGCTATCAACTAGCTTTCATGCTTCAATGGGCTCCTTTAAACTAATCCATATTAGCTCTGATTCTAATGCTTGAGTACAAGTCAATATTAATAAAGAATTTTACACTGAATCATGTTTATTTGAAGTTTTACCAATATCAATAATACAAAGGATATAGCAAATTGGCATGGCAAGCACTTTATAAAGTTAAAATAGAAAGTTTTAAATCACAAAAAAATGCTGTTAGATGCTGATTAAGATACAATTATTAATTCTGAATGCATATACAAAGTGCAATTACAAATGTAGTCTTTGGTAAAGTTGTCAAGTTTATGCTCAACAATTGTATAAATAGATGTTTCAATCAAATATAAACTGACAAATATTAATGGTATTGATAATATTATAAGGCACTGATGGATTGATGGATATTGTTTTCATTCTGGAAATTAATTTGTCATTATAGTGTGGGATTTTAACATCCAATGCTGACATTGAAGGTGAAAGCTTAAATGCAGCCTTTGATGCTATCTCAGACTCGATTGGCTTTGTCCAAAATGTGTCCCACGCATTCTTGTCTTCATACTTTGGACCTTTGTGCTGACTTATGGCATTGAATGCTAAGAAATATGTATTTCCTTAAAACCCGATCCTCTTTGACCACTGCAATTTACATACCTACAGGAATCCTACTGAGTCTCCTTTATCCAGGCCAACACTACAGCTGAATCTGTACCCACAACATGAAAGCTCAAAACCGCACACCCCACCCAAACCTCAGCATCAATTCAATTCAATTCAGTTTATTTATATAGTGCCAGTTCACATCACATGTAATGTAAAGGCAGTATACAGAAACAATTCAACCAGATCATACAGTCATATTGGTTCAAAGTTTTATATATAAGGAAAATCAGCTGATTGCATCGACTCATTGACTCGAATCATGTGAGCAGCCATCTGCCAAGGCTGACTGGGGTTCAATGAGACAGAAGCAGACATACAGAAAGAATAGAGATACAAAAAGGCAACTGTCAACCAGCTCCACAGGTGGCCCCATTCAGGAACACACAGCCAGGCATTCCCTCCTCCTCTCAACCAAACACTACCTGAAAGCCATAAATGTACCACTGTAGGATTACTGGGTTAGTCGTTACAACTTAAGCCTCAACCCAAACATTCCGGTACAACAAAGCTGGATTCATTCTTAGCAAGGCTAGTCACCATGGTACCATACTCTAAACTGATGATTTCACTCAGACCAAATAATTGTATAAGTCGTGGTATGCAAAGTCAGGGATGTCCTATGGAAGGCAGTCTTGAATCAGTGAAAACAAGCTAACAGGCAAATGAAAGCGCTCCTTCAATCAAACAAGATAACTTTTTGCAATTCTTCACAGTTTTTCTGCCCATACAAATGATCCACTAATTTAGACAATGTTGAAAGATTCTGCACTCATTTTGTATTACATATCTGCAATATTAATCTTGCTGTATTATTAAAGCACATACTGATTGTTTTTTTGCCATCCAGCATGGTGGCGTAAATAGACTGGAGTCTCATGATGGCACGTCCTCTATATGGCATAACAGTATTATCACAGCATGTGCAGGTTAGTGGGACATAGCACAATATAACTTAGGACTAAAGGAATATGTTTAATCAAATTGAAGTACTTTTAATATTTCAACAATATAGTGTAGCAACTGTACCTGAATATAGCATGACCAAGCAGCTATTGTGAAAATATCATTCTATAAACAGAGATTAATCCTTTTCTCATTTTATCCAAGCTTGAGGTGATTGGATGTTACCAGTAGCTACCAGCCATCCTGGTGCTTATCTCCAGCAGCCATTCGGAGATGAGGTACACCCGGGACAGGTTGCCAGTCTAGCAACAAGAAAAAACACAGGACAAACAATCATATATACAGGCAATTTTGAGCACCAAACTGTCTTGTTTTTGCACTGTTAGAGAGAGCTGTAGTACCTGGCAAGAATCCTCATAAACAGGGAGAACATACAAACTCACAGAGACTACAAGCAGACATTTAAACCCAGAACTTTCTTGCTTCAAAGCAACAATGCTTCTGTCTATACCCACCCTTGTTTTATCATCTATGCTAGGCTAGATATCAAACAGAGATGTACTTTAATGCAATAATGTGCCAGAACCTAATAATTCTGATATGCTTTTAATTAAAATATTTTTTTTATTCTTCAGGGATTAAGTTAAATAACCAAAAACAAATAGACAGGGGTATAACTTTATTACTGCCTACATTTCATGTGTGCTGTCTGTTTTAGTAATAAAATGAACCTCTTTTTGTGTTTGTCTGTTCATAGTTCATCATTTGATTTAAGGGGAGTGTAATAAACAAAATCATGGCTCTTTGGTCCCTGGTCTTCTTTGTTCTCTCCATGTGAGTTCCTTTGTTCTCCATGATATGTTTTGGTTTCCATGTCTGTATGGCAATGATTAGCTCTGATGGATGATAGTGACCCAATAACTGTGACAAGGACACAACATTAACAGCAAGGTAAGGACAATGGTTGTGCCACTACACGGGCACTGCATTATTCAGACCGGATGGCTGAAGGAGAAAAAATGGGGAGTGGAAACAAGAGGGAGGAGGAAGGAAGCATGAGGGGGAGGAACTAAAAATGGCAAGGGGAGCGGGTGTGTGTGGAACAATTTATAAAAAAAAAATACTCTGGCTGTAGTTGGGGAAACATATTGATTTACTTTTAGGAGGGATCATGTTTATGTAGTGATGTTGGAGAAAAGCTCACAATTTTAAACAAAACTTATACATGGTTTACACATTTTAAATTAAAAATTCTAATACATGAAGTTACCAAATTTTACTCCTGACAGCTATAAATAATGTTGCAAAAGAATGTGTGCAACTGTATGTCAGAAATGAAAGACATTGTAACTCTGGTGGAGCTGCAGAGATCCACAGGTCAGGAGGGAGAATCTATCAATTCAACAAAGAAAGTCTTTGTTGAAAGAAACCCTGTTTGCAGTTTGTTACAAGTCATTTAGGAGAAACATGGGTGAAAAGGTGCCACTGATAGATGAGACTATAATCTTGGTCTTGGGAAAACAAATGCTGTGCATTACCTTAACTCAACCTTTCTTCAACCAGGATGGTGAAGCAGAAAAAGAAGCACTAATATCATAGTAAGTGCATTTTTACTATATTTGTACCACCAACTTTATATTTCTTTTATTTGATTGTAAGTTCAGTGGTGCAGAGGGTAGCACTGCTGCCTTGCAGCATGAAGGTTCTGGGTTTGATTCCTGGCCCGGGGTCTTTCTGCATGGAGTTTGCATGTTCTCCCTGAGCATGTGTGGGTTCTCTCCCAGTACTCCGGCTTCCTCCCACAGTCCATAAACATGACTGTTAGGTTAATTGACCTGTCTAAATTGTCCTTAGGTGTGAGTGTGTGTGTGATTGGTTGTTTGTCTCTGTGTTTCCCTGTGATGGACTGGTGACCTGTCCAGGGTGTACCTGGCCTCTTACCCATTGACTGCTGGACCAGCACCCCTTGTGACCCCATTTGAGACAAGCAGGTCAGATAATGGTTGGATGATTGTAAGTCAAGAAAGTAAGCTGAAAGTATTAGGCAAAGGCCAAAATTAAACTGTTTCACAAATTTTACATACAGTAATATGAAAAACATATGTTTAACCTTACTAGTTAGTACTAACTATAACCCCTTGCTCACACTGGCTCCGGTGCGGTTACCGAGCCGACGGAGACCGCAACTCCCGCACACCCCCTCTCACACCGCCCTTTTGACTACGGTGCGGTGCGGCTCTGCGGCTCCGGCAACAGGTCCGGTGATTTAACAGAAGTTCACTTAAGTTCACGTAACTTCACGCGATAACACGGCCAAAATAAGGATATTTGCGAGAGCTTGTTGCGGAGGGCTCCGGCACGCCGCAAGGAAAGCATTCTTGCAGAATTTTCTGCAGCGCCGGAGTGTCTCGGTAACCGCAGCCGGACAGCTCAGCAGCCGGTTAGAGAGGTTTACGTCTTTTTAATGAGTTTTTATACATTTGTCTTAATCATAAAACGACAGCATAAGTATTCTAAAACTAACAACATTTACCATTTAGTAGCAAAAAAAAAACAAGTAAGTTTTTGAAAGTTTTTGGCAAGCCAGGTAAGGGACTTTGGTGCAGCATCTTTTCAGTTTGGTTTTATTATACTCTATTATTTGGTTGTGTTGTTTTATTAAAATTTGCTTTGTCTTGCTTTTGGTGTCAGTAAGAAGATAAAATATGCATGGTTTGGACTTTTCACCTTTCCCAGTTTTATTCCTTGTTTAAATCAAAGGAAAATGCAGCCTTTTATGATTGGAGCTCATCCATGTTTGATGTGCAGCCAGGAGGGAGACCTAGATAATAGAAGCTATCAGAGACGCACTGTGCTCTGTGTGTGTGTGTGTGTGTGTGTGTGTGTGCGCACAGAAAGACGAGCACAAGAGTCTGTTCTCTTTCCGATTCCGTTTCATTCCGAGGCATTGATGGATTTGAATGTAATGTGACATACACTTTCAGAAACTCTGACACAAACCATAATGGGTTCCCATACATATGCTGATGCTGGTGCATATACACTGGTGCGTTTCCTGAACTGCATTTGAATTCTCAGCACAGTAAAATGCAACAGCATTATGCAGGAACAGTCATTGCAACAAATGAGGTCAAGCAGTGGAAAATGCTGTTTCTGCTGAATCATAATCTTGCTAAAACGCTCTAAAGATATGAATGCATAATTTGAAATTGTACATTACCTGTTCTTCATCCAATGCCATAAATATGCCAGTTTAAATTAATTTAAACAGTCACCAGGGAAAACAAAATATGAAGCAAATATCGCTGGGGCTGTTTAGTGTGATCACATGGAAATGTGCGTCATGATCAAAGGGAGTTCAGTGAGTGACTCATTATAGCCTGAGAATGGTAATGACTTAAGGGGGTGTCCTTGTTTTCATTTCACTCATAGTGTGTATTTTGTCATTGCTCCTGGCATCTAGCACTTGCTTTAGTAAAATAAATCAATAGCCATTTCAGGAACATGACTTAATAATGAGTAATCAGAGAGCACCAGAATGCTAAAATGAAGGTCAGGCCTCAATCCATTGTCTGAAATTTATATTAACTTACGTCTAGCTATTTTGTAGAACAACATATATGCTGCACAAAAAAATACCTAAATAAAAATGTCCCTAGATTTTTGGTTTCACTTAGTCAAATTTGTCACGTCTGTCCTATCTCAGTTGATTCTTATAGTATGCCAGTGAGTGAAGCAGTGTCACTCGATGAATCACGTGGTTATACATCCATGTACGAATGAAGTCTTAGGCCAAGCACGAATGCATCACTGCCTGGTTTGTACACTAGGTAAGTGAATCAGGGGAATGAATTGCTTCTCAGCAGCAATTCTTAACTTAGTCACAGCACTAATAATTTTCAGTCTCATACTTGTAGTAGCCTAATGGGTGAAGTACAAGTAAATCAGTGCTATTTACTATAATAATTACTTGGAAAATCAGTGGCCCTTTATCTCTGTGTGTTCAGTAGGTTAGCAAATCGATGGTTTATCCAAGTTATCTTTAGCCGTTAGCCTGGAGTAACAACTTTAGTTGTAAGCTTTAGCTGTTAACTTGGAGTATGGGGAACTGAGTCATAGAACATGGAAATTCCACTCCCCTCATGTTGACTTTAAGTAACGAATGACTTAATTAAAGTGATAAATTCTTATTTAGAGCTTAATCCTCCCTGCATATGAGTGGATTCTTGACAGGTACCACAGCTCTCTCCAAGTGCAAAAACAAGACAGCTTAGGTGATCTGATAGTAAAACATTTCCTGTGTCTGCAATTGTTTGCCTGTACTTTTTCCTAGTTGATTGACTGGCCACATGTCCAGGGTGTCTCATCTATACAGACTTCAATCAGTATATATTAAACAACCCCCTCATCCCCCTCTGTCATTTTATCAATGAGTTTATACTTCAAGCCCGCTATATTCATAAATTAATTCATACCCCTCAAGCTCAAATCCATCAATTTCTCATCACATTCAGTGTCACTGATGTTACCTTCTTTTCCTGCACATGCCCACATGGATTTCTATAGCTCTTTGGTGTCCCTGATGACCGTAACCTTTGCCTCCTGTGGGGATCTATTCAGTTTAATAAAAATCATGCAGTCTGCTGTCCACTTTGCCTGGACCCTTGCTTAGTCGAGATCCTGTCTTTCCTGCTAATGTCAATTTTTCTGTTAGTCAGATGCTGATTGATGTAGATGTTAGTTGCCCTCAGCCTCCTTCCTTGTTTAAGCAGAGATGTATTGTGTTTTCTATCGATGAATTTCCTCATGACGACATGTTAATCCTTAAAATTTCACCTTGGCAGGGTGGGGCAAGCTTTGATGAGTTTGCAGTTCAGTTCATACCGAGAGGAACTTAACTGAACCGTATTGTCAGAGGCCAACTCACGAGTTTCCTTTTTCCACGCTTTGATAAATGTGGAGAGTTGTACAGTATGTGTAGAAAAGTTTTGAGTACTACTTGTCAAACCTAAGTCCTGTGGTGATCCAGGAAACAAATCATCAAGATCAGGGGTCAGCAACCCACAGCTGGCTCTTTAGCGCCACCTGCGTCCCTGGAGCTTTATCAAAAATTCATGGAAATTGATTTATTTTGTTTGTTTAATTTAATATGGTGTGCAGGAGCTCAAACAAACATTCAATATGTTTTCAAATGCTTTAAAACATTGTATCATAAATAAACTTAAACAATAAATGTAAACATTACCTTCAATAAAAATTTGCATTATAGCCTGCAACACATGTTTCAGTGCGTCCCGGTGTGAGCCAAACAAAGCTGCGGGTGTGTCTCGGGCCATGGATCCCAAAGGGAAAAACAGAAGATACTTAATGAGAACAGAGGATTCAAAGAAGAGTGGACCGAATCATTTGCTTTCATCATCAATGCAAAAGGATCGCCTGCATTTTTACTTTGTAATGAAAGGTTGTCAAAAAATAAAAAGAGTAATTTGGGAAAGCATTTCCAGGGAAGGCAGGCTAAATTTGCAGCTGACAACCAAGTTGGGAGTGAGAGAAAAAGTGTGATTGCAGAAGAACCTCTGGTTAAATTACAGGAGAGCAAAGATAGATTTAAGAAGTGGATTGCATCTCCAAACTCCATTACTTCTGCTAGTTTTATTGCAATCATGGAAAACTGTCAACAAATTGAACAGGTAGTTCTCTTATTCAGGCATGTGAACTTTCTTCCAATTTTTCCCCAAATCCTCAATAAAAATATAAAAACACCAAGGAATGCTGGTGATAGAGGATGTGAGATTTCAGGTTTAGAAGGTCAGTGCCTGCTTTGTTCCTCATGACTCAATCAGCTTCTCCCAACAGAAACATGTCCACCATAGAAATATTCCTTTATCTTGTTTCTAGAATTTCATTAATGCAACAAAACCTAAACCGCGTGGTTAAGGACAGTGAAGTGGCAGGCGATGAGGCGGTGAGAGCATTCACTGCTCCTCCCTCACCTCATGCTACTATGTGACATTTGCTCCAGGATAAACATTTAAACATGAATGCTTATTCTATATTTAAGCCCATATAGACCTTTCCTACAGTGGGCTAATACACTTAGAGCACATGTTTATATAAGACTTTTACATTTTTGCAGCTCCAGACAGATTTGTTTTGTTTTTTTGGTCCAATGTGGCTCTTTGAGCAGTTTGGGTTGCCGACCCCTGATCTAGATGATGCATTGTAGTCATTTCTGTGTCAATGCCAAGCATGGGGAATATTAAGACAAATGGGCTGTTAAAGCTTTTTCACTTTTTTTCCTTTTACATCTGGATATCCTTGCAGTGAGTCCAAAAACCTCTACATGTTTACATTAATCATTAAAAACACCTTACATTATTATTATCATTGAAGAACTGGTCCCATTGCTGAAACATCTGGTTTCCCTTTGCCTGGGTTTTGGCCAAACTGAACAACAAAGGGCTGTTACTTTTGAACAGTAATAAACCTAATAAGTCTTGTCTGAATGAGTTTGTGCCAGCTTGAACAAAAGGAACTGCATTAATTCAGCTGATTTATGAACATATTAGTGACCACATCAATAGATTAACTAATTAAATACATTTTTACAAATAAGGCTCTATTCCTTCACACACGCAAGCAGTTCTAAAGGAAAAAAAATGTGTTTATTTCTTGTTTTTTTATACTGTTAACCTTACCATCATGATACTAAAGAACTAAAAAGATTTCTTTCTACTCTAGTCCTTTTTGCTTTAGGATGCGTGAACACTTACCTTTATTGAAACTGTTTTATTGCCTTTTTTTTTGCATTTTTCTATGGATCTAGTTAATGCTGGATTCAGGATTTTTGTTATATCAAAACTAATATTTGTGCTAAGTGTATATTTAACATAGAGAGCGTTTAAACAGTCTAAAACTAAAACTAGTCTAGAGATGGGTTAAATTAACCATTTATCCCTTGCAATGCTAGCTGTGGAACATAGCACTTAAACATGCCAGTGGTTTTGCTGAAAGCAGCTGCCGAGGAAGCTCTTGGGGATGAAAAGATTGGCAATGGGTGCTCACCTTAGAGCCTCCTTCTTAGCAGCTTAATGGTAATTTCACCAAACAGTCACTCTTTCTTATTTCTACTTTCTGTTCTATCTGGTGTATAAAGTAGCTAGAAAAAAAAAATTAAGTAAACTTTTTGAAAATAACTAACCTTTTTTTTCTTTTCTTTTAAACACCTAACTTTTTTCTCAAATGAAGCATAAGCAACATTATTTGGCTGGTATGTAAAATATACATAAGCAACATATTAAACATAAAAAACATCATGAAATGATGCAATGAAAATACATTACAGATAACATATTATTAATGTAAAAATACTATCCAAACAGCCCAAAAAGATTTCATGAACTGTTTTTATAATAACGTTACATTACAGAGAGCTTATTATAATTATCTTGTAAATACACTGAAATCTATACCAACTTTATTATTTGTTAATGTAGTGAGCTGGTTCCAAACACATATTTATCAACAATATATATTAATCTGAATTTAGTTATGTTGGACTTATTTTTTAGACAGAAGCACAAATGTACTTAGATTTAGATCTGGGTTTGACTGACCATTCTAACATATACAATAGTAGAGTATGTTCTGAGTGAACCAATGCAGTGCTACGATGATTTAAGGCTAACATTTGTCTTAATCTTGAAGGAAGTTTAAGCCCATCAGTAACAGATCTTTTCCTAATTAAATCTTAAAAACAGTATTTTCATGGTTTTGTTAAGACTTCTTACCCACATGCAAATAGAAAAATCCCAGGAGACAAAGAAATCAGATGAGTTTATTGAAGAGAATGGAATATGGCAATGAGGAGATCAGGGACTGCAGGGATGGCGCAGGAGGCAGGTTCTCTAAAAACAGACCACAGGATTAGAACTGATGGAGTGAGGGAATGAATGCAGCAGGCAGCAAGCTTAAATGTGCAAGGGAATCTTTCCGCCAGGGAGAGGTGAGTAAGGTCTGGGGTTATGGCTGTGAGCCGGTGATGGTGAGTTTGGTTCTTTCAGATAAATGGTGCTTTTGAGAGGATGATTGTTACTGCTAGGCGGGCAAGCCGTACAGATGGAATGGTTCCAGTCCGGTAGATGAATACAGTTAACTTCTTGGTAATTGGTGGTTGACTCAGGAGAGTATTTTGCAGAGCCGGTCTCAGAATGTGTAACTGAAAATAATACACAGAGATAATAGGGACATGAATTATTTCCAAGTGCTCTGAGAGGCTGAGTGTTACCATGTGTGTAACACTTTGGCAAAGAGTGACAGGAGTCCTGCTCCTCTTATACAGCTCAAGTAATGAGCCTGATGACCTGCAGGTGCTTTCTCAGGACTCGCCCTCTGGTGGAGGAAACTGAAGGATAACCCAGCCACAACCCCAATCCCTGACAACTATAGCATTTAACTAAATGCTATACTTGTCTAATTTTGTTGCAATTTATTATGCAACAAAATGTAAACACATGCATGTTCTTTAATATATTTCAAAACCATAGTGTTAGGATTCCAGTTTGTGTGGGTTGTTTTTGTGTTTTCTTTTGTTCTCCCTTTCCACCACTAGATGGTGCCCTCTCCTGGTTTGGGCCTCCTCGCACACCTGCGGCTCGTTGGGTCATCACCAGAGGAGTATTTGAGCAGTGGACTGTCACTACCTCGACGCCAGAGTGTTTGCCAGTATTAAGTACTCTAGCCAAACTGAGATTAGCTGAGTCTAATTATTGCCTTGTCTCTCTGAGTCTAAGCTTTGCCTTTGTTCTCCGGTAGGAGGTCTTCCTGATCCATTGGATAAGCTTGGACCGTCTACCCCCCATGGAAGGAATTATTTGAGTCACATTGAGCAAGGGGAAACCTCCACCAGATCCGTTAAAGTCTGCTTCAGGAAAAACCCGGTGACAGTCCGCTCCATTGCTCCTCTGGACCCAACGCTAGTCTGCCTGTCCACCCTCCAACGAGTTCATTAATCTCTGGATAAAACCCCACAAACTGGATCCTAAGGAAAACCAAGAGCCCCCCAAATGTGAGTCCCTTTCCTGCATATTACAAGTCTCAGTCATATTTCCTACGGGCCTTGAACTGATCATTTTGATCTCCCCTTCAGATTCCCGGTTCCGGTTCACCAGTCCGCTGAGGTTCAACTGAGTTTACCCTGCTGTATAACCTCTCACTCTGTTTTTGTTAACCTACAACTAAACCAGTTAACTTTTACCATTGGTTTTCTGAGTGCTTCTCTGCATGTGGCTTAGAACCTTAAAGCCCATCATGACATAGAGGATACAATAAGAGGGCAAAGCAACAGAAATAGTTGTATAATCCTAATTTTACAGCTATTGTATTGTATTTATATTAGGCCAAGAAAATTCAGTGTAATATGTATTGCAGCAGTAACTGTCAGTGGTAGTTTAAAATTTATCAAGGCTTTTTTACATTTTTATTATTACTAAATCGAAAGTCAGCAGTTTTATTTTTTGCTTTTCCAAAATAAATTCTCACATATTGTACTCAAACTCTGCATCAACAAATTTATCCACGCATAGCCAGGCTTATTATGGAAAATACTATTGAGGATAATTCACTTACAGCTCACAGCAGGTAATGTCAAAATAATTATCAGACAAGACAGTTCAATGGGCGGCAGCCCCTCTTCATCACAGCAAGGTTGAAGGGGCTACAAAGCAGCAAGTGTATTGGTACTTAGTCAAAGAGGAGCCTCAAAGTACATTCTTCTCCCACCCTTTTAAGCTTTGCCTTTCTCAACTCACTTTAGTTTCTGCACTATTCTAACAAGATTTTTTGATCAGATTTAAATAATGGCTTGTCGTGCTCTCATTTTTTCCTCTTTGTTCAAAGAAATGCTTATTTCATGGGCTTTTCCAAACCAATGTCAATGTAATTTTATAAACTTAATTATATGCAAAAATGTTCAAGGAGGATTCTATAAACAGATATAACACACACAAAGGGGTCTAGGGTATTTTCATGCTTATAAGGTTTAAAAAATACTAATCTAGAGTAAAAGACAACAACTATGATATTGTACCCTTATGTTTCAGTCGGTGATTACCACACAACATCATTTCACAGTTTTGAGATTAGGCAATAAGACAATCCCCTTGTTCATACTTAGGTTTTTAAGATGTTATGTCCCCTTTACACCATTGTTGTCTTTTATGGTTTCAGTGGTTTACAAAGATGTATAGTTGTCAGATAAAAATGTCCTGTATAAAACAGGCTGTAAAGGCTTTAATGGATATCTAGAACATTTCTTTGGTCACAGCAATGACCGTGTAATAACAATGAATCCTCCTACAGTATGTTACATTACGCAGCCACTATGCCTGCATTGATGAAGAGTGACTAATTTGAGCATCCCAAATGTTTTAGGTTAGAGTCATGGCAGGAGGATTGGGACTAAATTTCTGTGGATTTACACCAAATAATTAACCACTTGGATGCCTTTGTAAACTCTGTGTGGATCTTTGAACTGTAAGGCCAAGAGGGTCAGGCAACTAGCAAAAAAAGGTAAATGAAAAAAAGAAAACGAAACAGCATGTACTGTAGCCTCCATCCATCCATCCATCCATCCATTCATCCATCCATTCAACCATCCATCCATCCATCCATCCATCCATCCATCCATCCATCCATCCATCCATCCATCCATCCATCCATCCATCCATCCATCCATCCATCCATCCTCTAGACCTGTTTGTCCAACAGATAATGAGGAAGCTGATGTCTATCTACAGAAAACACATTCCAGTGTTTTTTTTTTTTCCTTTTTTGAAATATATTGTGCAATGGGTCCTGTAAATATCGAGTTCAAAACAAAAACCTATTAGAAGTAAAAAAAAAAATAATATGAAAAAAAAAAAATCTATCCATCCATGCCCTATCTTTAGAGGGTATGAGGCGACAAGTTGGCCACACCACATACGGGTCTGATCCTAAGAATCTTGTAAATACTGTCAAACAGCTTTTGATTACATTGTTGTATTCCAACTGTTTTTTGAATTGGGTTCAAGCAACCAAAATCCTTGTGTATAAGCAATCCTCCAAAAATCCCCATTTATTTAGGTTAAAAAATAAAATAAAATAAAATCACAATTATTTAAGTCCAAGAACATTTGGTTGAAAAAGGGGTTATGCTGTGGTTATCCCTGATGCAAGTGTAACTTTTCCCATCATGTTTTCCTTCCACTCCACTTTCTTTAAAAAAAAAAAAAAAAAAAAAAAAAACAGAAAAAGGCATACATACCTACATAAATACATATAGCAATATTACAGACCCATGCATACTTACATAAAACATGTACTTACATTTACAGTTTTGGACTGTAAAGGATAAATACCTTTCATCTAGAAGAGATTGTAAAATTATTTATCAAATTGCATTATTTTTAAACGTCTTTTAACAGAATTATTTACACTTTTGAGAGCTAATGTAATTTGTCCGTAAATAAAACCCTTTACATTTTAAATTCTCCACTTCAACCTATGACACAAAAAGCAAATAAGTAACAAACCCTATATAGACAGAGTGATGAAAAAGATGTTGATTTTTTTTTTAAACCTTATTTTATGTATTCTTTTTAATGCTGAAGCAAAATTTGGTTTAGACATGCCACACTATGCAGCAGTAAGGAAATGTTTTAAAGGAGCTTTAGGTCTTGGTAAAAATGTGTTGATTTATTGACAGGAAAACTTCCTAAAATTACTCCTAGACATTAATAACCACTATAAGCTTTAAATGTAAATGTAACAGCACATTATGTAAACGTCGTTACGGTTCTTGCTTTTTTTTAGGCTTCAGATATTATTGTTTAGGTTGGGAAATCCTAAAATTGTTGAATATTTTACATGACACTACTTCTATAATAAATAAAATGTGGACATTTCCAATAAAGTGAGTTTGCCCAGCTAGGAAGTCAAATACTCCTTCAGTATAATTCTAGGTCAACATTTTCTACATGAATAAATGACCCATGGGGTGTTGGGGAGGAGGAAGGTATCTTCAAATCAATTTGTGTCAAAGTGACAGATGTTATTAGAACAGCAATTGTGGTGGGAGTGCAGTGTGGGCAAAATATTATAACGGTTATTAGTCTATTGCCTTCCTGTGTCTTAGGCTGACAGTGGTTTCCTATCACCTTGAATGACCTTCCACACACGCATGAATGCCCATACACATGATGGAACACGTGTGCACATTCACAGACATTACACCAAAGAGATTTCATATTAAGAAGCATTTCTCCTCAAATGATTGACTGCCTAGGATAAAGAACCTTGGAAAAACATCTGGGTAGGTGACAAATATATCCCCTTGGATGGCTTTGTATGAAGGAGACAGATACCCTGGGCAAAAGAAAAAAAAACTGAAACGTGTGTCTGTGTGTGTGTTAGTGGAGTTATCACCGGTGTTACACAAAGACCTGCCAGACGGCTACCCTGGTGAGGTGGTGTGTGTGTGTATCTAAAATGTGTGTCCTTGCCAGCCACTTGACATCACACAGCCCTCTCATGGCAGGCTTCTCGGATCAGCAGCTGAATGGATAAGGCTATTTACCAGCAGCTTATTTGGTCCAGGTCAGACCTCCAGTAACAGCTTAATAGCTGTTGAGTGTGGTAAGAATGCAGATGGGAGAGGCTTTATCTGTCTATACACCTTGGGCCTCCATCTGCATAGAGAATGAGTGGGAAAAAATACATTGGGGAAACAGAGACGCCAGGAAGCATATTTAACAAAACATAACCTATGGATACACAGGTAGGAAATTGCTCCTACACAAACATATACAGTGTCCACATTTGTAGTTCCAATATTCTTTCATCTTCTAATGAAAGGATTTTGATTCAGATTTATACACCATTTTTATATTATCTAATAAAAATTATTTAATGAGTCAGTAAATATGCTTGGAAAATAAGTTAAATCTGCCAAGCTTTTAATATCAGTAGTAATTAATTATTTACTAAGACTAAACACAATATTAGCACTCCTAAAAAACAACTGGGACAACAATTAAAAACAAAGTGTGAGATGTTTCAAGCGGCAAACAGGAATTTCTCTATAAAAGCTGACATCCTGAGAGTTTACTTTTCAAAAGTAATTGTTTCTGCAAATTAGTGTGAAAATAAGGTGTGATAACCGTGGTGCCATCGGTTTGATTTGCAGTGAGAATGATGTGCAGCTCAAGCTGAGTTTATTCTATTATTTAAAGCTCATTAGCTCATCACAACACTGCACAGGAGGTCTAGCAGGACTGTCGAGGTTTTCCAATGTTCACTAATGTTTGTGAATATCACAACTGGAATGTATCTTGCTGTCCACCTTACTGTTCCAACACTTTTATCCAAGTGTCTGCCTTTGATCCAGTATACAAGGAAAGCTACTTCGTCAGTAGGAGATCAAGAAGAAGAAAAAAGCAAAAAGCTAATGCATCAAGTCAGTCCTCTTTTTAAAAAGTGTGAGAACTAGCTCTTCATTTTACCTGAAAAATATTCTGCATCACAGAATTATACACTTTGTGTTTATTTAAGGTAGGCTACAATTTGAGAACCTTCAATCAAGCCTTCAGATAATAACCACAAGCCCCCTTCGAGTCCTTCACTATTGGTTCCTTTTGTGTCACCGACTGCTACAGTCTGCACCATAAAAGGGTAATTATATCGTAATTAGCAACAATAAATCAAACAGGAAGAAGCACGGATATAGATGCACATGCTAAATAATTATGTATAACCAATTGTGGGTATTAACCTGAAGGGAAGGCTGCAGTTTTACCTCATAAATTCACAGACACCCAGACAATGCCACCGAAAGTGACAGTTAAGGTTCTGCTGAAGGTCATTCATGATGATTAAAGAGGCACCTCTGCAATGATTTCCAAATGACCCAGGGGACGCTTCGACCATTGACACCTTTTCCAGAGAAAATTACTTTATTATGCCTTGGGACACCTGACTTTAGTCAGACACTATGACAGCCTTCAGCAAAATTTAAAGGAAAACAGAGAGACAGCCGGTTGGACCTAATAAAGTCACATACTAAATGTCATGCATTTATGGGGAAGCAAGAGGGTACAACAGCGAGATAGACTAAGGTGGTTAAAACAATGTGGGATCAACAAAAAATAAATTTTGTAAAAACATCAAAGCATACATATATAGACTAAATCAGCAGAGTTAAAACCCTTTCCATCCGTCCAAAAACAGTCCCAGTCAGCACCAGTGGGAATATGGCCCCTACACAATTCCAACCCTTTTCCCATTCAGGACTTTCCCGAAGCCGCTGATATAGAGGCTTTGGTAATAACCATGCTGATTTTTATGATGGCTAATTTCACACTTTCCAACACTTTTTGTGTCTGGATTCAATAATAACCTTAAGCCGACCGGGTGGTGGATTCCCCCAGAGATCAGCTTGGTTTGATTTGACATATCACACATACATACATTTGCACACGTACACAACAATACAGGACCGATATTTGCATATAAACTGCTGTGATACTGGCTGGGCCTGAATGTCACCTTCACACATATTTCAGGGCGACTGCAAACATCAAAGATACATGTTTAAAGCTGGAGTTAATTGACTGAAATTAAATTAAAATGTGCCAGCTCAGAGATTAAAAGGGAGACCTTCTGTTCAAGGTAACCATCTTTATGTCAGTTTTGCAGATAAATCTACAAAAGAGGAAAAAAATAGCATTTTCTGAAAAGAACAAATTGTTTTTATTAAAAGCTAAAGCTCAGGAAATGAGCTATTGTCGAGTGTTTATCATTTCCAAAGCAGTCACATTGTTGGCCATTACATGCAGAGTAGATAATCTTAACAGATTCATATCACCCACATCAGCAGTTATTTTCAATGCATCCAGCAGACGTTACCAGGGCTTGCATCATCAGACAAAAAAAAAAAAAAAAATGCCTGCATTTTACAGAATTCAAGTGAATATCACACTGACCTAACAATGAACTACATCTTCCCTGGTTTATGTCTACTGCACCAATGCCTAGGTACCAATTTGGTACTTCAATGGCAGATAGAAACAATATATATATCATTTTTGTTTCTCTGAATAAAAACTCACTATTCATTCACTCATTGCTATCGATTTCTATGTTACCCAATCTTCCTGTTAAAAGAGGGAAAGAAAAACTAAAGTAGCTCCCTTGTTATCCTCACAGATGGTCTCTAAATCGACAAACCATATCTAATTGTATTACCGTACTTGGAAATGTTTTTAGTTGCAGTTTTTCCTCAAAGCACTTTGGGTTCAGTTATATGTATTTTTTTCTGCTTGAATCAAAGCCTTTGCTCTGGCATTTTTATTTAATTAAGAGATATTCTAATCAGTATATTCAAGCAGAAAAGTGGCAACTTATAACTGCTGACATTTGAATTACTTCAAAATAGCAAAGATCCTCATGTTCTCATGGAAAACAAACTGGGAACTGATGATAATTCATTTGAGCAGCACTGTTAAAACTAGAGATGCACAGAGAAATTTTGTCTGGTGACTGTAATGTGATGAGTTTCAGCTTGAGTGGTGTAATCCATTTTGGAAGCTGATCATCTGTTTTTGATCAGCAAATGCATCATGCAAAAGTCTCTCATCGACGTATAAAAACTCACTTCTAGTATTTTATGCTATCAGTGAGTTGCTTACAAAGATCCTGTAAACTGCAAAAGAAAGTTGTATTTTTATTTAAAGTATGTAAATACATGTCAACTATTCAGGTTGTGAGAGCATGTGATTCCAAATGGAGTCCAGCTACTGTATATGTTGTCCTTTCTTTTTTAACTGCTCAACTTTTGAACTTGAAATATTGGCATCTTTTGGAAACTTTGAGGTTTAAGGGTCAACTTGGAATTTTTAAAGTAATTTTCTATAATTCGCCATAGTTCTTTCTCCTGTAGTAGAAAGATTAGTGGATGCTAACAACTAGTCAGACTGACCACAGATGTTTTAGTGATAATTAAAGGAGTATAGCACAAGTTCCAGTTTTAGGCAGAAGTTTGCCCCCTCTGGTGTAGAGGAAATGTATTTCATACAGTATGCAATTCTGCAGGTCTTTTGTTTAGAGGCATATAGTCTTCTTAGGTAATAAAATTATAAAATCTATAAGTTATTCTTAAGAGAAAGCTATTGCAATATTTACCTTCTTCTTATTCTGTCTCTGCACTTTGACCCTTTCATGGCACCAGACAAACGTTTTACTAAACGCAAAAAGAAAAAAAACAAACCTGTAAACGGCAATGACATATACAAGTCAAATTATTTGTGCTTACCCTCACAATCTCCATTTAAATAGAGGGGCAAAAAAACACTATTAACAATATTAGTTTGCAATCTTATCACAGACCATTGTTACCTATGGTGCTTTTTGTACAGGAACACATTTTTGATTCCAAATTTTTTTTTACCCTGCCAAATTTACTGGTGTTTAAAATTAACCTTCTATAATTACCAAACAACTAAGCTCAGAAAAAAAGCTATCTGAATCCAACTTTAAGAGTCGTCTGCTTTAAAATTGTTAATGTCAGCTACCATGAATGGTATCTGACTGATATAATAATTGAAAGGTGAATTGTTTTAAATGGCTGAGGTCAGCTAAAACAGTGGACATCTTGTCCACAAGTTTACTATGATTTCATGTTTTTACAAATGTTTTAGAAACCATCACTGAAAACATAAAAATTCTGTTACAGTATACCAACACAAAGACAATGGGGTTAGTATAAGCTAGCCAACTTAAAATAAAAAAGATAATTTGTCGTTGAATGTTACTAAAACCTAGTTACACAGCTTTTACATTCCAAAACCGGTTAGTTTGATGTCATCTCTGAAATGTAAAATACTTACTAATCCTAGTGAAAAATAAATCTAAGCTTTTAATATATTTTCTCTCTGCTTTCTATCAGCAAGCCATATAAATGAAACAGAAAAATAACATACAATTTTATTGGAGAATTGTATCAGTAGTAAAAATCTAATTTAGCATAGGCTATTGACTTTAAGGGATTTTTTTGCATCAATATCTAGAAGATTTTTTTTACTTTTAACATCCAGACTTCACGAGACTCCCTCAGAATACCATTGGTGTAGAATAACCCATTTTGTTCGATGACATTTTCTAGATTCTAAACTAGTTGAAATTCCTAAAAAAAGTTGTTAAACTGTGGAAGCCTAGGGTTAGACTCATAAACCAACTCACTCCAGCTAGTTTAGCTAAAACGACCAGGCTTTTCATTGCAAATCAGTTGTCAACAGATAAATAGAGACAAATAATGTTTGCAATAAAGTCCCAACTTTGGGGATTTTTTTTTTTACTAGGCATCAATTATTTAAACAATAATTAAAAAACAACAGCAGTGCGGCTTTAGACATAGATGGTTACATTAAATAAGGTTAACTTTTCCAAGTTTTATTGCAAAAATATAGAATTTGATAAGACACTACAAAAACATCAACACAAACATATTACACAATACAATTTCGAAGACAAACCAATAGCACACCAATAGCCAAGTATATTTTTAACTGAGCTTTCAATGATCACAACAGTTATTCAGTTGTTTTGAACCATAATGCGTGAGTTATTCATATAAATTGATGAGTTGCAGTAAAATGAATGCATACCTGTTTTTGTACAGTTAAAAAAAAAGCTGGATTTTTCCCCAATCACCACATAAAACATACTCATGTACCACTTCTTGAGGACAATAAATGAAATGGGCAAGATTTAATTACCCAATTTTTAATTAGACTTGGATCTCCCCCCCAAAAAAAAAAAATCTGTCCATTTATAATCAACAGCATTATCTATTTATTTTTTTTTTACCCAAATGAGTTCATTACATTGCACAAACTACTATGATAAGACTCCCACCTCATTAGTAGTTGCAGTTACAAATTTGGACACTAAAAAGATATAGTTCACTTTCAGATTTTTCCAAACATTCTTGCAAACAAAGGAAGTTTAAAAGAGTGTCTCACTGATTTACTATTTCATTTTGAAGATTTAGCTGATAGAGAATTCCTTATAAAAGGAACACTGTGAAACAAGTCAATGGTGCCATAAAACATAAAGTATGCTTTAACTGGTGCTACAATAACCCTGTCCCCTGATGTAACCTTACACCATTATTTAAGATGCTTTTAGACATCGATTTGTTCAAGGTGTTACCATTTTTCTTGATATTTAGTCATCATTATTGCTTCTCCACATTTATCATAATCTATTTATGCCTCATATTCAACTTTTAGCACATTTATTCTAATAATTAAAACAAATCTCTCTTCTGTCTTTGTATATTTAGAATAAACTCCAATTTCTACGACTTTTTTAAACAAATTTAAATGTTCAAATTTGCAGGTTCCAAATTTAGATTAAATATGTGACATCTGGAAATCTATGTGAAAAAATGCTAAAATTAATCTGATATTTGAGCAGTTCCCTGATTTGAACCTTTTTGCATTCCAGCAACTATAGAGCGACAGTTGTTTAATTCTAGACCAACAGCCCTGATAAAAACAATGCATTTCTCTATGCCCATTTTAAAACGTTTTGTTTGAGTTTTGCAGTTGACATTGGATCAAAGGTTCAAAAGTAGTGAGACAAAATGCCTGGAAGAGGTTTGCTGACATCAAGAACTTGTGGTAATGATCTTTTATAAAAAGTCACGATCCACATACTGTCCAAACAGTTTTTTGCAAAACCCTGTGCCTGTATCTCGAGCCTGTGATGTGCCACACACAAGAAGACGGTGCTCTACATATTAACATTTCCATAGCTTTAATTTCTTTGAAAAATATTACCAACTCTTTGTGCTTAGCTGTCAACTGGTATGTCCAGGGAAGCATTGACAGTATGTAGTGATATAATAATCATAATCAGGAAATAGATTACAAAGGAAATAATTAAGAAAAGAACCTAAAAGGTAGGTCACCTATAGACATTGCAGTCAAAGAAAAGAGAAATTTTCCATAAAGTGCAAATTAAAATAGTTCCAACATACACATTGTCTGACATTCCTCTTATTGCCTCTAGACATTGTTGGCAAAGAATGAATATTGTACAAAGTTTGGGCACAGTTAGGACATAGTATTTTGACAGGAGAGGAAACACCAGTGCTTAAAAATGCGAGGCACTTATAAGGTTGTATTTTTTTACCAATTGTTCATGCACCACGCGTGGGATTAAAAAAAAAAAATCAGCCAGAAAGAGTGGCTATACAACAGCTTGAAACATTATATTTAATTGAAGATAATCAACACTCCTGTTAATTCATGAATTAAAATAAACAAATCTGCATAGCCACAGTAGACTATGGGTGTTTACTGCATTTCTGTATTTTCTTAAATATTTTCTTTAACTGTGGATATGGAAACAAAAAAACAACTTTTCAGATAAGAATGATTAAAAAGATGTTTGAAATATTCTAATAAATTAAAACTGTAATGAAATAAATTTAACCCACCAAAAAAAAGTTGCACATCTGCAAAGAGACCAGATAGACTATGCAGATGCTATGCTTCCTGTTAGTAAACCTCCACTTCAACTAATTTCAATTTTTGAAAACACTACTAACTGAACTTGCTGAACTTCAAATGTGAAATAAACCCTCTTACATTCAGTCAAATTAGGCTCTTACAGTAAGTCCTCCATTTCTGTTCTCAACACTTGACTTGTTTTGCTCCATGAACACAACTTTAAATGTTTAAAAGCTGAACATGCTATTCAAACAAAGTGTTGCACCTATTTGAAACCTTACATTCTTCTTCTGTGCTTTCATATGGTCCAGTAAAACCACCTCTGAACAATAGGAACATTTTTTTATGAACTTTCTACCAAAGCTTTACAGTAAATAAACAAAGAAATACAGAAGCAAGTAATCTACATATAGTCTGAATGCTTTCTGCCGACGCAGATACTGCAGTCAAAGGGGTCAAGTTTTCGTAATATTCACAATGAAATTATTCCATCCTGAAGAGAAGCAAAGCACAGGCTTTATCAATTACTGACATCATTTAATTTTTAACTAGACTACAGAGGAAAAATCTACTAGTCAATGTGCATACCTTTTAAGGACTTGCAGAAGCAAAAGTATGGGCCCTGTCATAATATTTATTTTCATTTTATTGGAACTCTAAACACAACCAACAAAATATTTATAAATTGTCTCTCTTCAAGTCCTTTTTGAAACTCTTAGTAGGAGATAATTGTGCCATTAGACCCCCTTTTAGGACGTCCAGGCAGAAATACAGTATTTGTCACCAAGTACCTACTCTGAGAAGTATAATGATGTTAAGTTGTCCTCATCATAATGGACAAAAGAACAATGTTCCCTGCTTTAAATCTATAATACATTATTTACATAAAATACATGTAGGCGGAGCTGCTCAGTGGTCCATGAGTAAGTACAATAAAGAAGCAAACTGTCCACATAAATTATTTAAACAAGTACATATAAAAAAAAATCTGATTATCAAGTTCGTCGGTATTGCCACCTTTTGTTTTTTGTTAGTTTACCTTTTTTTTTTTTTTTTAACAGCAGTCCTGTCAGAGTGAGGTTGATCGTGGTGTGGCACACAAGCGTTGAAGAGATACTCTGAGGCGTGGTGAACAGAACTGATTTCTGAGGGTTTTCTGTGGTACCTGAAGGTTACTGTTTCTAAGTGAAGGCTTGCAAAGACTGCTAAACCACCGGTGAAGGCTGCTTTGGATTTATGTAAAAGTATCAGAACAGAAAAAGTTTCCTTTAGATTGATTAAACACTGTTGAGAAAAATCACACGGATTATAACAAGCAATACCAACACAAACTATCCCATGAAACACCTAAAAGGAATGAAGAATCACTCCACCTTTGTTTTAGGAGTGAATATTCTCTTACTTATAATGAAACAATGAGAAAATGTTGTGTTTTGTTTTTCAAATTTAGCAGAAGGATTTGACTGCATGCAAATGATGCATGTTGATGCTTGCAAAAAAGGGTTAGTAATTTATAAATAAATGCATCAGTTTAGTATTGTTTTAATTTGAAGATTAGAGACATTTATGTGGGTGTTGATAAAGAGACAGAAGTTTTTGTAGGAAACTATGGTTTTACAGACTTTCAGGCTTGTCAACATAATGTTTAGCAATCCCTGGTATCATTCAGTGGCTGGTTTCAAATAGCAAAAGGTTTATTGCCACATTCTACAAATGTTCTACATTCAGGCAAATGGGTATTTCTATAGCATCCACATGTGAAAGCAATTTTTTTTGCCTATGTAATAGCTTTACTTACAACTTATAAAGTTAATTATCTTAAATCCACTATTTATTTGACTGATTTGTTTACTTTGAATGATAGTATATGAAAGCCAAGATTCATAAAACAAGACAGACGATAAAACAAATAAGTCCAATATGCCAAACCAACAGCTCACGCTAATAATGATGTTTTTGTACCATTAGTTTTTATCTCACCTGAGATTTTCTTTTCAATTTACTGACTTGTAAAGGTAGTGTATGTCAAAAAACTCTGGCTGGTACGTGTTCTGTTCAGACCAGGTTGGCTTGTCTCATCCGGCTGAGAGATTAAGAAGTTTCATTTTGAGACCACTTTATGAAAACTTCCAACGTGGTAGAGCCATTCATTTCTAGTTTGAGCTAGGTGAATATTAACAGTACAAATAATGTAAGCATCCAGAAATTGGGCAAAGTTGGATAAAAAATCCCTTAAGAGTCAGCTTTGTTTGCCTTCCTCGGTCCTTCGCATAGCACCATTCAGTCCAGTTCACTTCAGTTTGGTTTTAGCCTTGCAGTGTTATACATCTCCATGAGCTCCACGAATACGACTCACCAACAATGCGGATCATCAAGTGAAAATCCATAGAAATTAGGGTTTCTTTGTCTCCAAAAAAAGTGCTATGCCGTTCTAGGTCCAACAGTTCTTTGATTACATGCTAGGTCCACATATTGGTTTCCACTCAGGTACTCATATGGATGTCTGATGTGTGTGCATGCCTGTACATATGCATCAGATGTTTACAGTAGAGTTGGTGCTGTTCATATGGACTCTCATCTCCTGAATACTTGTGATAATTTTTTTCTGATGTCCTGCCAGATTTACACCTACTCTTCGAAGATCCCTGCAAAACAGCAAACAGATAAATAAACACCTATATCCCCCCTTCCAAAAGAACTCAAAAGAATAACAAAATAGCCAAAATAACTAACATTGCTTTAGAATATGCAGATGGTCTTACTCTGATGTCATTTGAGTTACTGTGTCAAGTGAAGAGTAGCCTCCCTCCATGAAGAGCTCTGTGTAACGGCCCATTTTGATTGAGTCAAGCCATTCTCCGACAGTCTTTCCTCGAGTGCTGCAGTCTCCTTCCACACTGGCATGCTCCACTAACAAGTTGGAAACCCTAGCACATAGAGGTCATAAAAAACAGTTTTAATCTATTACAAAGAACAGTTCTGCAAACAGTTATTACATAAACTACCTTTAAGTATAAGATGACAAATTGCTTACAGCCAAATAGAGAGGAAGTCATCAGATTAATTGTTTTACACACAATGTGGTCATAGTAGACAAAGGGCTACGTTTCATACTGTTATTATGAACCATATGACCTGGACACACACAGATAGCTTAAAGCTCAACCCATCAATCCTGACAGTTACCTGTGAGGCTTCACAGATAATGCAAGCCATGCACCATCACACAGAGCTGCAAATGCTTTTCCCCTCAAAACTCTTTGTCATTCAGCTCACTCTTGGTGCTGACAAATAGAGCTCCCCATGCAATCAAATGAAACATTCACAGTAGGTAACAACATTTTCCATGCTACACCAGGAAGAGAAGGCTGCTGTGGAAAAAGGTCTGGACTTATTGGAGGGCCTTTAATCTTGACAGCTGTCATATGTCATTGTATATTAGACATGGCAGTAATTTATTAACCATGCTCCAATTTGTATGCATGTCACACTCTGCTTGAGATCATTACAAAGAAAAAAACCCTACCAGGTGTCTGTATGGCATTAATAAGTGACTTTTTGTCACTATACAGAGATTGACTAAAAATACATAGTGTAAAATGCAACCAAATAATTGAGACAATTGACATTTCTAATGTGTTTATTGAAGGGCAGATCATAACGAAGTAGATTTAATCATTAGTTCTATTTATTAACTAACTTGTGGTTGTGAGAGAATCCTGCCATACCTGTGTGAAGAGTTGACCAACTTTTTTAATGAACTGGGGTTGCGAATAAACTTGTCAAGTAGACAAACAATTTCATCAAACTTGGGTCGACTGCTGCGTTCCCTCTGCCAGCAGTCCATCATCAGGTGGTACAAGGCCTCTGGACAGTCCATTGGGCCAGGCAACCTGTAGCTCTCTTCTACTGCTTTTATTACCTGCCAGCAAATGAAAGAGACAGAGATGCATGATGGTCGTTTTCTGATAACAGCAGTAGGGAGGAGCAGGATTTTGTGTCAGTGACACCAGTGTGAGAAATTATAGATTATTGTTTGATAAAAAAATAATCCCATTTACAAACTTGACTAAAGTTAATAGTATTAATGGTGTGTTTGAAGTTTCGTCAGTTACAGTATCACAATACATTTTATCACTAATACCTGCTGTGATTTTTTTTCCTATACATTCTCCTTTGACAGCAAAAACAAGATTAAAAAGGGTCCTATAAATTCCAGAGTAGATATAGACTGATTCTTCGGTTGACAGATTCTTTTGGCCATTTTTAGCGTTTTATATTTGCCGGGGACTTGGTAGAAATTAACTGAATCAATGACTTAGTTGGAATGTTTTTCTATTGATAGCATTTTGAAATCTTTTTACACAGTAGAATAAACTTTAAATAATTAAGCTTTAAAGGTGTTCGTTTTATTTATCTATTTACATATTTGACGGATACTGCAGAAAAGAGAAACTGTGGACAAAAAGTATGTTTAAAACTGTTCAAGAACATCTATTATTTTCTGTCTTCACTAAATAAGTTCTTGCAATTTTCAGATAACATAAAATGACTTTTGGTTAACTCTTGTATTTATTAATGTATATAAACATCTAATATTGTTTTAATGTTATGGACAACATAGAATGGTAGTAAACATACAGATAAAGTGAGTACATAAGTGAGGTTAAATGGGTCAAATCAAACAACTTATATTTGTGAAGAAATGTATTATTATTAAAGAAATTAATAATAATATCAGATCAGTTCCATTTTTAAGTGGTTGCCATTCATATGCAAATGGGAGGGCATGTCCTGCTCTCACTGCAGCTTGAAGGAGATGGTACTCAAAAGAGTGGGCCATCTATGAGTGGTTTTGAACATGGAGCTGACTGGCCAAATGGCTGCTTGTTAAAGGTATAGTGGAGGATTTTCACAAATTTTTGAAAAGACCCACCCTCTCAACTTAAAAAAAAACAAAAACAAAATGCACATACACACCCTGTACACGCTCCCAAGAGGAAAACCCTAATAAACGCGTGTGAGAGATTGCTCGAGCCCATTTCTCCTCATGCATGCTGGGTTAAAAAGTTGCTGTTTGCATCGTTCATACAACCTTACTTTTACTTTTAAACATATTCTTAATATTTCTTATGCATGGATGCCCTAAAACTGAGAGTTTTGGCGGACAGATAAATGCAGAGAAATTCCTTCATGCCGAGAATTACCTCCCGTTGCAGAAGCGCGCATCGCCCTAAACTTTTGCACACTGATGAAAAAACAGATTGAAATATGAACAAAAAAGCGGAACTTTTAAAAATATTCTTAATGTTTTGTCACAAATGATATAGAATGGTGTTGATAGCAAAAGCGGGAAATGCCATCCACTGATTCAAAAATATATTAATGTGACACTGACTGTAGCACTTTGACAAAAATGTTTCTCCATGAAAGTAGAAATTGTATTCATTCGACTTTATCTGTCAAGCTAAACTCTAAATTTTAGGGCATCTAAGCATAAGAAATATGAAAACATTAAGAATATGTTTAAAAGTTCCCTTTTCTATTAATATTTTAATCCGTTTTCTCATCAGTGTGTTAGAGGGGAGGTAATTCTCAGCAGCCAGGTATTTCTCAGCATAGCGTTAGCTGAAAATGGGGACGAGCACCTAGGACGGCCTTATGTGAACATATAACCAGAATGATTGACGATTGAGAGGACCACTTATTTTGATGATTCACTCGGAAAACAAACATCCTCCTCTATAACTTTAAGAGTGAAAAAAAGTAATAAGTTGGCAACAGAGAGAGCTTTTTGATCATATCCAAGCACAACAAGGAAGAACTCAAACTTATATAGCTGGTCTAAAGAAGTTCTGTTGCTCTCTATCTGACCTTACTCTAAACTCCATGAAGCAGCAACTAGCCCCTTTGAGCATGAAGCACAGCATTAAAAGAGTACTTGTTTATTTCAAATGCCGCATAGCCCAGTTATTCATTTCTGTATCTTAGAAGATGCAGCACTGAATCACGGTTTTCTTTTTTTTTCTGAAAGGGAAACAGAGTTAGATGAATAATAAATAAACCCCAGCTCTTTCCGTTGGAGCCTGCAGTGAAGAGCAGGCAGGAGTTTTCAGCCGAGCTCTTCCAATGCATGAGACTGCAGGGAATTGATCTGTTGAGTTCATAACAGCCTTTACTTTGCCTAAATTCAGACAAAAGACCTACATGATAACACTCCAATACACATGGATGCATGAAAGTGCATGTATACATACACGCATTTCAACTGACGCGCTAGAAGAAAAGCCCTGCATCAAACCATCACGGTCGGCTGAGAGGGAGAACGACTTTATTTCACACTAGGAGGGTGCAAAGATCATAGACTGAGGAGAGAGAATGAAGGAGAGGGTGGACGAAAGGCAACACAAAAAGAATAGAGACAGAGACTGCATTTAGAGAGACAAGAGAGGACAAGAAATTGAAAGGGAGAGGGAGAGAATAGGAAACAGAAGGAGACAGCTTAGAGAAGGAACGTTCAAGCCTGCACTTTCTTGTGCAGATCAGAGAAAATCCTGCATAACGCTTTCAATTAAACATCAAACGTCTTCTCCTCTCCTTACCACTCATCCTCATCTTCCCTCCTCTCCTACCCTTCTAGTCTTTGAGATAGGCAGACTAATAACCAAAAGGAGGGAGGAGCCTTGAGAGGTCACTGAGGGGTTGTGCGCACATATGTTGCCTGTGCAAATGAGTGGGAACATGCTGCTCGGGTGTTTTTATAGGCCCAAAACATGTATCTGAAAGACATTAAAAAAAAAAGAAACTTACGTCTTGATTGGACATATCCCAATAGGGCCTTTCTCCATAAGACATAACCTCCCACATGACAATCCCATAACTCCACACATCGCTAGCAGAGGTAAACTTCCTGTATGCGATTGCCTCAGGAGCTGTCCAGCGAATAGGAATCTTTCCTCCCTGCAAGAAAGGAAGACAATATTTAATTGATTATTTAAATACCTTGCTGGACCCATCTTCTTTTTAAATACAGTAACAATGGAGGTCTTAAGAAGAATTCCTAAACATCCTACAATAAAAAATAGACGAGCAGAACAGGGGCAATGAGGAGGAACAGGATTCCTCCCTAAATGTGTTTCAGTGTTGTGTCTTAAAACCAGTTCTTAAAAAAAGCATGTTGGTAATGCTTCACAATCCAGACTGGCTGGTGATCGCTAACAGCACTCAGACAGGTCCTAGTTTAAAACAACATTTAGAGCAGAATTTATTAACTCCACATAAGGATGTTAAAAAATACAGAGTTAAAAAACAAAATAAAAAAGGTTGCAAACAGATTCAGCTAAAAATCGTGGCTGTGAGCGCAGCTCTGTGCAGCGCACTGACCTACTTAATGTGATTGGGGAGCTTTAAGCAAACAGGAGGATGAGAGACAGCCAGAGATGCAAACCCATCGCAGCTCTGGCTGTTTGTTTATGGAAATGTCTTTCGCAGCCCCTAAAGGTTGTCTTCCAGGATTGTAATGTATTTGGCTCCATCATTCCATCAGCTCTGACTAGCTTCCCTGTTAATTACCAAGAATAGCATCTCCTCAGCACCACTCCGTCACCACTATGTTTTTACTGTGGAGACGGTGTGTTCAGGGATTTGTGCAGGATTGTCCTTTTGCAGCATGTTCATTTTTGTCTGAAGATTAGAGATATACCGATACATTTGCATGCCAATTTTCTTGACTGACATTAGCGTCTTTTTCCTTGTATCAGTTGATACGTGCATGCGTTGGTCGACTTATTAGTGCATTACGCAGCTATGTTTGAGATCACATGAAGGACGTGCTTGCTGCTCTGTCCCCATTAGCTATCCATTATTAATGTTTTTGTATTTACTGTAGTCATTACTTAGAGTTGCAATTTTAACTTTTGACAAAATTATAAAATCAAAAATAATTTTCTTTCCATTTTGGAAACATTACTTTGTGTCGGCCCAACACAATTATTGCAATTAGACACAATTAAGTTTGGGGTTGCTATAAAACAGAAGTCAAAAATGTCAGATGATTCATTTGTAATTTAAAGCACTGCATGTACTTTAAGGTGCTTTAGAAAAACAGATTAAAGCCTGAGATTACTCTGTTAAGTTGCAGCTTCTTTTAATCAGTATCTGTAGCTTTTGCTATGTGTTGATTTTTTATTGAAATGCCTTTTAAATTTTTGCATAAATGTATTTCTAGTCTAAATCATTGTTTGATAAGTACAGCTGCAGGCTGAAGAAAGAAAAATGTTTTTTTTACATTCAGATGGCAACCATGAACAAACTGTAATTGAGACACTTCCTATGCTAATGAACACAGATTTAGGAACACTCTTGCAGTGACAAGTTTTACCCACTTGCATGAATTCCCTATCCAAGCTGTTGGGGGTCTCAGATTGCTCTTCTCATTTTCCCTCATCTTCATTATAATGCTTTCCTAGTAAAGATTTAAAAAGGGTTCACAGGAACACTGCTGAGTTCTACAGGAAAATGTGTTTTCAGCTGATGAGAAGTGAAATTAACTTGATGCAGTATTGATGAATACAGCAGCAGGATATCTCGGGGTCTGATTATTTCAAGGATGTGAATCATGTTATTCTCACTCGTTGGGGAATGGGAGCCTGATAACGACAGAGAGAGAGAGAACGAGAAGGGATGCGGCTGGCATTGAGAAGTGAGTGACAGGATATCTGGCACCAAGGCATACAGACTTGGTGCTAATTGAGTGTTGTGGAGACTGAGTTGAGTTCTAATTGGTCCTTCTCTTGCAGGAGACCGCCTGTCTCTAGCTGGCACGAAGAGACTCAGTCAAGGATGCACAGCTCAATTTAAAGCCTGCTGCTGTCATCTGTGTGAATGCATGAATATAAATATTTCAGAGTTTCTTATTTATTGCAAAGTGTGTGACACTAAAACAAAAACATAATGCATGATTCATTTGGACAGTTCTCTTTCTAGGGAAGAATGGTTATATGAGATGTGTCTCCATTAATATGTTAAAGAAAGTATTCACTTAATTCTTTAGTAATCCAAACATTAGGAGAAATATATACACAGAACTTTCTCTAATCCCTTCTATTTCATCCGTCCATTTTCTGCCGTGCTTATGCCAAGCAGGGTTGCGGACAGGTGCTGGTGCCTATCTCCAGTTGTCTATGGGCGAGAGGTGGGGTACACCCTAGACAGGTCACCAGTCCATTGCAGGCCAAAAATGAGACAAACAGGACAAACAACCATTCATGCACACATTCACACCTAAGGAGAATTTAGAGAAGCCAATTAACAGATATATTTTTGGAAAGTGCGAGGAAGCCGGAGTACCCGGAGAGAACCCACGCATGCTCAGGGAGAACATACAAACTCCATTCCGGGAATCAAACCCGGAACCTTCTTGGTGCAAGGCAGCAGTGCTACCCATTGTGCCACTGAGCAGCCCCTACTATTTCTAAAGTAGTAATAAAGGTTCCTGTCACAAAGAAAGCATAGTTCACAATTTTTTTAATGAGTAATTTAGGCGCCCGTGCAGCAGCTTTATTAATGGCAACTCTTTTCCAAAACCAGCTTTAATGTGTTTAAATAATGATTAACCTCCTAACTTCGGACATCAGTTGTTTATAGAAACTCAATTATTTAAAAGTTCAAGGAAAGCTCAGGGATCACCAGTGTTAGTCTTTCACTGTAGATGGTCCAACAATAGTCTCTCAACAGTCTAGCTAGTTTGATATTAACAAATGCAAGACAGTACAGACTAAGAGAAAGGCTCTGCTCTAAATTTTACATCTTCGATCACCATGAATATTTTCATATGACCGAATGCAGGTCCTATTATACTAGGCTATTATTTAACAATAGTAAAAGTCAATAAAGAACAGACAGAGTAGATAGTTAATAGTTACCCTTGTAGTGTATGATGCCTCTGGATCGTCTTCCAGGACTCGGGACAGTCCAAAATCAGACACTTTACACACAAGGTTGCTATTAACAAGGATATTACGGGCTGCCAGATCACGATGGACATAACCCATGTCTGAAAGGTACCTGGAACGATCAACACAGTAGTTAGGAATGGTTGGCAAGTTCAGTAATGATATGCGTGTCTAAGGACTATGTTTACCTCATGCCAGATGCGATGCCCCGCAGCATGCCGACCAGCTGGATAACTGTAAACTGACCATCATTTTTCTACAGTAAAAAAGGCAAGACAAAGATATATAGATGCCATGAATTTCAGGCACAGAATCTTTGTGAATATCAATACAACTCGACAACATATAATCGTTATTTTATGTAATTAAGAGCAGGGGGATGAGATTTCTTTAATGTGTTGCTATTTAAGGTGGATTACTAGTACAGGGTATCTCAATGGCATTGCGCTGAAACTCTGTCGGCAAAGCCTGGTTGTATTTAATTACATTTGTTCTGTGACTCCAAAGGTCAGCAGTTTGCAGAAGTGTGCTGGAAAAGAAAACGAAAAAAGAAAGAAACAGATTGCAGAAGAAAAACAAAAGATTGTGCCGTGCTACTGAAAGATAATCTCTAGTTTTTTCAAGGCTGCCCAAACTACAAAGTTAATTAACCAACAGTGTAGAATCAATAATAAACACAACTCTATATACTCGGCTCTAACCTTCGTGACTCCACTTTTGAATCGGAGATTTCAAGAGTGAAAAGTTGAGTATTTTACTACAGAGTTCTGTACAATTATTCAGCTGTGAGGCACTTTTTGCCATCCTTCAGAGAAGACTCTTACATCTCTCTAAAAACAGACCACTTCAAATATGAGTTATATAACATAAATGCTTCAGCAAATGAATAAAGCACAGGAAAAATCACTCCAGCACTATACATGTCACTGCCACCGCTACAGCTAGGTTTAAAAAAAATAAAATAAACGTAGCTTTATCAGCACCTTGTCTAAAACATCTTTTGTGTAATATTAGACATTTCACAGTGATTTAACATCGGAAATGTGTTTTTCTTGAGGGACAGACCAATAAAAAATAGATTGTTATATTTTTTCTCAGGAGCACAACCAGTTAGTGATATTATCATGCAAGGCACAGTGTGTGGACGTTCCAGTGGCACAGCTGTTAGTGAAAGTGAAACTTGAACTCTAGGTCATTTCATAACCCCATTCTTCAACCTTGTTCAACTATTTTACATTCCCTTACTTTAAATGCTTAGCTGTAAAAAAAATCATTTCAAACTCATACTTTATTATTGTGTGTCCTTGGGTAAGACACTTCTACCACATTGCCTACTTATGGTGGTCAGAGGGCCTGATGGCGGCTGTGTACGGCAGCATTTCTTCTGTCAGTGAGCCCCAGGGCAGCTGTGGCTACAATCTAACGTGCCACCATAAGTGTTTGTCTGAAAGGGTGAATGACAGAATTTAGAGGGCTCTCCTGACTTGACCAAAGCACAATACAAATACTTCCATTTGTTTTTTGCTGTGTTTGGATTTATTTAATTATGATATGCAAATATTATGTAGGGATGCAATACTTGAGACAAATTATTTACATTAGGACTTTATGGGATTTTGATTGTGGCTCTGATTCCTGGTTTGGACAGATGACTGCGATAAAACAAAGAATGAAAAAGGGCTTCTTTTTTTATTTTAATAACCACATTTCCTTATATACGGAGTTATTTTTTGTTTTTATTAAATTCAAGAAAAAATCTGAAAGGGGAAAATTTGAGTTAAATTGAATGTAAAATACATTTATTGGAGAGAACCAATTTTCACACTGATATCAACTCAGAATGGAAAAAACATTTTGAGGGAAAATACTTTGTCATGGAATAAATAAAAGAGAAATTGACATTTGGAAAATAATTTTCAAGGGAAAAAAGCTCTTTCAAAAATATATTTAAACTCTCTATTGCTGTTTTTTGCAAATAGAGAAAAGGATGAGAAAAATTATCTCAAAACTATTTTATTTTCTCTCTCAAAACCCAAGTATTTACTCGATTCAGGATTTTTCTGTGTAAAAACTGTCATGGGCAGACCTGTGTTCCTATTGTCCCAGCAGAATTGAGATATTCATTTCACTTTCAATTTTTTTTCCCCAATTTAGATTTTAATTTCAAGATTTTTCTTGAATTTCACAAAAACAAAAATAAATCCATACTTATATCACATAATATATAGGTTAAAGCAACTTACTGAAATTCTTAATATCCACTTAATTTTGGGAAAGTCTCACCTATTTTGCATACCCAAATGGAAAAGCAAATAACTTAGGAACTGTAAACCAAAATTGCATGTGTAATACATTATTTGTAGGCTAGTTTCAGAATATATACATGAAAATTGGGTGAGTAAAACACCCAAGCTGCTTCAAGCCTAAGCTGCATCAGTTCAAACAAGACTCAAAGTTTTTTTCTTTTTTGTTTTTTTTTTATTCTCGAAAACAATAGGTCTTTTTTGAACAGCAGTTATGAAGATATGCTTGCTTGTTGTGGCTGCTTTGTCATGCTACATTTTGACATGCTGCTATATCTGTGTTAATTGTGCTTTGGTGCTCACTATGTCCATAAAATGAACTAGGTGGTTGAATTGTGGAGAATCTAAGCCTTCCAACGATGTCGAACATGTCTGTATTAGTAAACATTTTACCAGTGTAATTTTCATGCATTTTGAGTTATTATTTGTAAATGCTTTAAAACAGTCACGGTTTTGAAAGGTTAAAACCATAAGTTTGGGCGAATATGAAATGTCCCTATAACATTTGACAAATTGCAAGTTTAAAAAGGCCTTTGTCAAGCCCTTCTTTTCACACACTACTGCAAAAGCCCAAAATGGTTTGCCACTTACTGTAATGGCTTTTCAACAAATAGTGAGAGGAGAATTTTATGATGAATACTGCAGCAGTAATGAATGTCACTTTAAAATGCTTAGTTCGCAAAAAAAGGGAGCTAATTAAACAAAAAACCTAGGCTGATCAATTTACCTTTCAACAATCTGAACTTTGAACGCAAAGATTTGTGCTGGCCTTGTACAACCAATGAAGTAAAAATCTAACCACAGTCCCGTTGCCATCTGCTTCAACAACTTTTCATATTTTATTAGTGTTTTCTGAGCCAAATATTGATAAGATCAATACAAAAAAAATCTTTGAGGAACAAAACTAGGATCAAATGTAAGGTGTTCTTAACTAAATGGCATCCCTGACAGTCTATTATGGAAAGATTATCTTACTGGAACCTCAACTTTGGGCTCCCCTTGACTTTTATTTTCCCTCTTCCTCTCTCTTTTTTTTTTTTTTTGATACAATGCATGCTTAATGTGAGGGATTGCATCCAAGTCAATGAGTCCATGCAATCATCTGGTTTTCCTTAGATAGAAAACTTTGAATCAATTTGACTGCATGATCTGGTGAATTGTAAAGTGCCTTGAGATGAAATGTTTTGTGAATTGGCGCTAGATACATAAACTGAATTAAATTTTTCTTTATTCTCTCCTAATTAGTATATAAGTTGGGTCAACCCTCAGCTTTGTGCCATAAAATATTTTTTCGACTCATAGTTTCTTTGAAACACTCAGCTTTCTAATCTGCTTTAACTATTTGAGCTCGTGTATCATTTTAATTATTCTTTAAAGCCTTGCTTTAAAAATGTCTGTGAAATTTATGTTTTAATTTAATTTTAAGCTCTTAGATGTTAGTTTAAAATAGATTAACTTAGGCTATTATTTTAATTTTAACTTTATTCTTTCGCTCCATCCTAACTTTATTTCGTCCTTTTTCATGTTGGACTCTAAAAATCTTAATCCTAAGAAAACAGAATTTTTCTCCCCTTCTTTACACTGTTAACTCAGAGGAAAGCAAAATAATTGATTGAGAGTTTTATTAATAAATTTTTTTTTTTTTATGTTTCTCATCAACAATACATTGAATAGCCAAAATGTAATTTTTCTCTTTATTACCTAAACTGTTCTCAGCATTTATAATGTTCTTTTGTGGTACAGTTACACTGGGTTTATTGCACTATATTTATTATCAGTTTGAGAAGAAAAAAATGTATTTTCTCTTTACCTGAGGCACTGTCACTACTGTCATAACTGTGTGTGAGGCTGAGCTGCAGCAGAGCCTGTAACTCCGTTTAGCCCTTCGGGTATCACAGTTTATCACAAAATGCCACGTTGCCACAACTCTTATGTCAGCCGAACAAGTAAATAGTGATGTTAGACAAAATAACGGTAGAGCAACGTTAAATAGAGCACCTCAAACATGTTTATACTTCTCAAGCAGGTGGTGAGATTAGGGACTTGTCAGAACCAAAGCAGGGATTCTACTTTTAGTGAAAACTATGAAGGCAGAAAGTTTGCAAAGTACTGTGTGGGTAGTCAGAGGCTGATCCTGTGCGAAACTAGGTCTGACTCAGGAAGACTGTCATGGCAGATTGTTTCGAAAAAGCACTGAGATGCTCGTTCAGACAAAGCCGACACTTCTGAATTCCTGCCAGATTAATGGAAAAAAGAAACTGTCTGAAAGGGAGCTTTGGTATCCCCATCCAATGACATCTTTCATCGTTAGTTTAAGCTTTAGCTCTGTCCAATCCAAATGTTGACTTTCTACCTGCCTCTCATCCAGTCTTATACGTTTCTACAGCAAGCGCGTAGTTAAACCAAAACACCCATTTTCCCAAGACGATTTCAATTTCCAACTTTAGTTTTCTTTACCTCTGCAAGTTTTTCCATCAGTCCACTGCAGAACATCCTGCTTTCATCTTAAATGAGATGTTAAGCCAAAGATGTGAGTTATGAGGGGTGCAGTTCATTGTCCAAAGCTGTGACAGCTAATCCAGGACCTAGCCTGGCCTCTGGTTTTCTCCTGACTGTGTCATTTACACCAGCCTCAGTACACCAGCCATCCATGTAATTACATCACAGGGTTTCTGCTGGTTCCCAATCTCCTCTGCTTCCCCTTTGCCATGAAAGTTTATAGCTAAAGCAGACCACACAGTCATGACAGTGATTTCCTCTCACCATGGCTCTCTCTGAATATCCTCTCAGAGCATCCTGCTTTTCCATATAGTCACACTAGAAGCATCATGTTTGGCCCTGATCTCCTTTTCTATTAAAGCAAGTTTTAAATCACAAACGGTGCTGAAATCATCTGACCTCATTTTGCTCATTGCTGGTTTAGCCATCTGCCTCAGAAATGTTCCCTTTCTGTGAGAATTCAGTTCTCTGTGCCACAGGAGATTTTTTTGTATTGTAATCACTGACGAGAGCGGAGACAGATCATTTTATTCAGAGATTTGGGGGCCTGCTCCTTAATTACAGATTATTTTCTGCTCTCAGTGAAATCTAGTCTGCGCAGGCCAGATACGGTTCTGGAGGTTACCTTCTCAGATGACTCACATTTTCTGGTAGAGTTAAATTCAAGGTGAGACAAGAAGCTGAAAACAAGGCTGTTGAAAATGTATGAAAAGCATATTCATCAAATCTCAACTCTTCAACTGATGCATAAATGTGATCGTTATCGGTTATGCTGTATATTTCTTTGGATAAATGGCTGGAAAAAAGCCCCAACAACAGTATAAACCTAAAGATTCAAGTATTTTTTCAAAAGCTCATTATTTTCTACATTTTTACTTAATATATCTTACAGCCTGCCAGTCATGTTCCTACAAGTTCCCGAAACAATGTTATACATGTTATTTTTTGTATTACAAAAATAAGTATAAAATGCAGTGAGTGGATCGATACCTCATAAGGAACACTACAGGATCCATTTTAGTTTAATTATTTAGTCTTGTTTCTGTCATACCTTTTCCATCCAGTCCATTTTTTTTATTCTTGAAGAAGTATTGCTTTTTTTTTTTTGGTAAACTACTTTACTTTAATCTCTGAATCTGTTTGCCACCAAAACATATTTCTAGAACAGGAAGGTCCCATGACTCAAATACTTATCCAAATCTAATCTCTATACCAGTTTTGTTATTCATCCTTAGTGTTCTATTGCTCATCTTTTGTGTACCTGAAAGGTTTTCTCACACATACCTTTAAGAAGGTGTCTAATGATCCATTCTCCATGTATTCAGTAATGATCATCACCGGCTTACCTGAAAAGTTTGAAAAACACACTTTGGTTATAAGTCCTGTTCAAGATAAGGAATAAAGGTTGTGAATACATACTACGTATGATGTGACAATGTAAAATACAATAGCAGCAGATTGTCATACATTTTTTGCAAGCTTTTTTATTTTATCCGTTTCTTTACTCTTAGGGCCTGATCTTCAAAGGTTCCACATAGGAGGTACTACATTGCACATACCTTTGTAGCACATGCAATAAGTAGGCAGATTGCAGGTGATCTACAAGGATTTCTGTGCAAATGTTGACGTGCAAACCGAAATGCGAAAAACAAAATTAGATTGTGTGTTCTACTTGGATAGTCAGCGTAAAAGAAAGATGAGGTTTAAAGCCATGAAAATGGAGATTATAATGAAAAATATATAAAAAAAAGGTACTGAAAATACTAAATAATCTTAAAATTTCCCCTGACAATAGGTAGCCTATCTTAAAATCCTATGAACAAAGGTTTTAAAAAATAAAATGATGAAAATAACTTATCATATAAGGTTAAATATGAAAATTATAAAAATATGTTTGCATAATATACTGCAAAATTAGAGTACATTATTTAAATTCCCCCATGTCTCTTTACAGATTCTTTTGATATTGAATTTTTTCTTTTATAAACATGCCACAATATTGAAGTTCAGTAATTTTTTCCAGTTTTATTGTATAAAGTTGACAGCCATCCTGCTGCATTTATTGAGGTCGGCCTTTTCATTATCAATATAACTCTATTGGTGTTATTTATTAAGGTCCAAATACACCCAGAATCTCACTTTATCAGCTGGTATTGCTCCAATCCCTCCTTTGTGGAAACAATAACCACAGATATTTTTGCAAAATATGCAAAACTTGCGGCTGCTGTTGAGTATCCGACTTGAAAAACCTGAAAATGTAGGAGGACCGATGGTTTTTAATTAATTTTTAAAAATGAAAACCTTAAAGTTTAAGTATGCATTTGTATACAGTCTTAGTGAACAAAAAACAGGATTCTCTGCAGTTTTACGTCTTTAGAGTGTTTGTGATCCAGTTTTCCATAAGATTGAAACCTTTTTCTGTCTTTTTTTTTAAATACTTTTTTTTGTAAAATAGCTTAAGCTATTTTATTTTGGTTGAAGAGCATATATTATCATCAACTTCACAGTTTTGCCACATGATTTAAACAAAGTCTAATAAAAGAATAAGATTTTAATGGAAATCATAACACCACAGCTCTGGCTTTAACTTTAGTGTTATTGATCTTGCTAGAAATCATCGCTTGGGTTTCAAGTCTATAACAAGTTTAATATAATGAAGGAGCATTTCCCTGGAATAATCCTGCAATAACCATATTTCATTGATGGGATGGTTTGCTTAAAGATGATATAGTGCTATTTCTTTGGCAGATTCAGTTCTTTGCATAAATGCCAAAGAACATTGGCATTTATGCAAAGTGGTCCATTTTAATTGGAAACATTTCTTCCATGTTCCTGCAGCTTTCAACAAACTTAAAAAAAAATCTTTATAGGTTCCTTAGATTAGTCAACTTCTAAAGGGAATTCTTACAACATTTATCCAAATCTGAATATGTTTCAAAAAGCAGCAGCTTGACCAATTAAAACTACCTTTCTCTGCTGGTTGTCCAGGGAAGAGTGAAAGCTGTATAACCAACAATAGTTTCATATTATATAAAAAGATTGTCTTGTCTTCAATGCTATTTTTTTCTCTTTGCATTTTTGGCTCAGCAATTTGGAAAACGTCAAGGCTCAGGGTAACCTTTTAAGATAGCTTTAAAAATCATTCAAATGCTTACTTTTGGTGACAACTCCCTCCAGGCGAATGATGTTTGGATGGTTAAACTGGCCCATGATGGATGCCTCCCACAGGAAGTCACGTCTCTGCTGCTCTGTGTAACCTGCTTTTAAGGTCTTAATGGCAACCTGGATCTCTCTTTTGCCAGGTAGCCTAAGGGGTCCGCTGCACACCTCGCCAAACTCCCCTGTAGCAAAAGAACAAACATCTTTAAAAAATATATTTTTTTAGATGTAAAGGCTGTCGAGAGAAAATTTAATCTAGTTAAATAAGTCCCAAATGAACTGCAATATTTGATCTTTACTTGAAAACTGGCTCACTAACTTGCTTCTGAACAGTAAATAACATTTAAATCTGAAAAAACTCACACAGAAAGAAAGAGACAATAAGAAGAATTTTAGTAACAGAATTATTTTAAGACTTTGGCGCTCAGACCTCGGCAGGAAACCTTAGCTCTGAATTTTACTTTAATACGCATAAGCAGGTGTATGAGAACAGGGATGTTTCCCCCGAGGCCTGAACCTGGTGGTGGAGAGGAGATAGATGAAGGAGGTTCAGTCCATAGACTGCTTGTTGGCGAGATGATCTGCTTAAGCTGTATAGGTGAGATCCAGTAGACTGTGAGCTGATACTAGTACTTCACTAGGACCTGGAAGATAGATGTCCAGCTTGGATAAACAAAGATTTGCATGAACCTGTCCATAATGAGCAAGTATGAAGCGACAGTGGAGAGGAAAAACTCCCCTTTGGGAAGAAACTTCTAGCAGAACCAGGCTCAACATGGCGGTCTTATGCCGGGCGGATTGAGATGTGACCTGCGATGCAGGAAGTGTCCAGAAGGAATTACACTCTGATAGGGACAAAGTTGAAGAAGCACCATGGAGAAGCCAGATGGAGCTTAGCTACGATTATGGAGAAGGATATGGAGATGGGTTGAATCTGGGTCAAAATATGACAGCGCTACCACTTTTATGCTGGTGGCAACCACTCTTGCACTTTGGCTGTGTAGCAGGCCAAGTCGTGGATTTAAAGACCTTTTAAGATGAACTCTGGATACTTATTTGGCTTCGTGGAGGTGCGGTTCAAAGCTGATTGGTTTGCATCGGAGGCAGATGAGTCTCTGATGATGAGGGCAAGTAATTTAGTTCCCTCAGTTCAACTTCTGTCTAGGCTTCCTATAAAAGCTGGTGAACCGTGCCTCTCTTTTTATTTTGAAAATAACAATAGATAACTGCCATCACATGACTGTGATTCGACATGTAGGTTTGTGAGCCAGAGGTAAACATGAGGCTAAAAACTTTTGGTCTATCCATTACGGGAAAAAAATATTTAGTAACTTTAGAGAATATACATTTTCTATTATTCTGGTCACACCTGCTTCAGTCTCAGAATGAGAAACCATCTATCAGTCAAAAATGAACAGACTGAGACAGGCATACTGATTTTACTCACCAGCTCCAATGATCCTCTCAATAGAGATGCATGAGACATCAATCTCTTGTGCAAATTCATGTACTGCCTGGTTTGGATCCTCATAAGTAAGGGGGTCAATATAAGTACGGACTCCAGGGAACTTAACTGTGGAAGAAACCAGAGCACAGTTTTAATGTAGCACTTGTTTGGTTTCCATTTCCTTTCACAGCAGTTTGTGTACCTTGGTTCTGCAATACACTTCACTGATGTAAAACATTTGGGACACTTTTTTTGATCCTTTACTTTAAACCTGAGTGCACATTTTCCTTTCATTTGCAAAGAGCTATACTAGTGTACATATACTGTACAGAACATCCCCCTCTCTTATACTTCATTAATTTGACTGACTTACCGGTAAACACAAATTCATTTTTTATGATCAAGTACAGAATTTTTTATTATGTTTTACGTATGTCATATCTATAGAATGTTCGTGGTAAAAGAGTTGGGTTAATTAGTGAATAAAGATTCGGCACATTTGGAGATATTGCCACTTTTTTTCCCCATTATTACAGAACTATTAGCAAAAATACTATTAGGTTTAAGAGTTGGGTTAAAGCTATGTATAATTCAGGATTACAATAGATCTCTTGTCAGGAACAAGAAGACAACTGGTTGCTTTTCAACATCTGCTCACAAAGAATTAAGGATTTTCAAGCACAGTTCTGCTAAAAAAAAAAGCAAGGCTAGATTGTTCACAGCAGAAAAGGATCCCACAGAAAATTCTTGGAGGCTGAAGCTAGTATTTGGTCTGATAGGGGCCAAACATATGGTAGCCAGGGCCCAACTCCAGTTTTAAAAACAAACATAAAGACTGTATGCAAATACCAATTTAAGAACCTTGAAACTCCAGTCCTGTTTCTACTGGACAGAAGAGCACAAGGAAGCCAGTGAACATTTAAAGTGTGAAATTACGACATTGTTCTTAAGTTGTGAGAAAAAAATATGTCAACCACTTTTATTTAAGGTTTCTTTCTTATATAGAAGGAAAATTGTTCAAAAATTCTCTTTTTATTGCCACTTAAGTTTTTTCAATCGTCTTGCTACAACCGCTTTTTATGTTTGTTCCTGAGTTTTTTTACATACAGTGATATAACTGGTGCCACAAAGTATTATACACTATTTCAAGCTTAAATAATAATCTCCATTTATGTAATAAATTGTGCAAATGCAAATATATAAAAGGTTTAAAGTACAGAGTTTGCACAAATTGCTTTATCACAAATATAGGGCATTGTCCCTCACAGACTAGTTTAAATTTCAGCCTCCATGACTGAATAATCAGCATTTATTTAAAATTAAGATATGAACACAGTTATCTACTGAAAGCAAGACATTACCTTTTTTAAAATAGTTCAACACAAACAGACATTCAAATTTAAAATTGTCCATTCTAATTTGTTTTCAGTATTATAATTTGCAGTTTTTTTTCTCCATGTACATCATGGTCGACTTTAGTTTCAAAAAGGTCAAAGAGAAGTTTGATGTTCAAAAAGGAAAAATACTTACTGATATAGTCATTATTAACAACTTAACTAAGTGTAAATCAGTGCAACTCACTAGCTGCATGATTTGGGTATTGCCTCAACTGCCTTTAAGAAATGTACTTGTTTATATAAATAATATTACTAATAAATCTTTAAATTCCCTTTGTAAATGCATCAGAAGTTCTTTAAAACCTTTTCCCCCGATTAGAGAAATCCATCTAAATCAAGAAAATATAATTCTGCTCTGAGTATATGACTAGCTGCACGTACATATAGACCTTACTTCTCCACGTTGACTGTATCCCATATACTGTAGGTTCCTTGATGGTTTTTCTTGTAGATCATAAACCCATTACAGCTGGCTGAGTAACTGACAGATGGATACATCAAAATGTGTGGAGAAATATATCAAGCTGTCTTAACCTATAATGCTACAGAGTGTTACGTGTCCTCTAACAACATGGATGTCATTCAGAAAACAGCTCTTGGCACAAAGCCCTAACATATACACTGGTGGCGGATAGGCCTGTTTTAGGAGATAAACAGATACATCAACACTGTCTGACCAGCAGCCTAACATGTGCTGTGAACCTCAGATGAACTTGGATATGTGCATGCAATGATATTATTACATATGGCAAATTTGGACTTACTGTGGCCATTGTGAAAATGCATCTTTTCCTCTTCAGGATCCTGCTTAGCTTTGCTGTACCCACACCGTCTAATCAGAAGAAAAAAAAAAAATCACAACAATACCAAATAGTAAGTTGAGCCATTAAAAGTTTATACTTTAAGTATAAAGTTAAGGATTATTCAAAACCTTCCTCTGATTATGCAGATTAAGTTGTGTTCTAACCCTTTTTATTTACAAATTTTAAACAACAACTTTTATAAAATAAAAAAACTTTAATCACTGTGCATAAATTGGAAAACAAATATTTTCATCCTTGTTAAACTGGGAAATTGTATAAAGGAAAACAACTTAAATATAAAGGTAGAATATATATGTTATAGTCATTAAATAAAAAAAAAATAACATCCTTTTAATTTATCATTTAATAGCTAACCCACATTTCAAGCTTTTCAAAAATACCGATGAGGACAATCAATCTAAAACATGCATAAGTTTGCAGTTTTCATATAACATTTAACTAGTAACAAACAGCAATGCCCTTTTCACTAAAAACTGTTTTATTAGCTTCTAATTAATGATATTGTCATCTTAAAAGATAAGGCAGGTGGACCAGATGCATAATTTTCTGTTATTTTTCTCTAATGTCCATTTAAGAAGCATGTCTGTGCTGCCAGAGCCTGTATTTATTTTTATACTGCCTGCATGTGTATATCTGTTTGTGTTTGTGCTTAGATAGCTGCCGTATGTTGATATTTAGACAAATGGCATCAGAGATAATCACAGATTAAACGGGGTGATGGGTTTTTAATGTGATCCTACAAGCAAACACAACCACTACACATGTCAACAAAAATAAACAAGTTAAATAAACAGGAATATCTCATTGGTATTTGAAAAGTTGGTTGTATGAGAGGCAGCTTCAAATACATTTAAAAAGTTAAGTACTTGATTTGGATGGAGGAATTTAACTATTTATGGCACATTAACGCAAAAACATGCAGAAATTGGAACCCTGTTCAAATGGCTCAGGCAGCCAGGCAAGAAAAGCTTGCAAAGGAATTCTGAATATACTGAGGAAGGGGTGTCTGTTTAGTGTCTGGTGGAGAGTACTCTGTTAGCTGGCTGAGTAAAAGAGGATTGAGCAGACTTAATGCACAGGAAGTCCCCCTCGAGTACATACATAGTATCTTCCATTTTTTCATTTAGATGTATAAAATAATGCATACACAAACAACTCAAGAGGGATGGCACTGTGCAAAAAAAAAAAAAACTGGCCCAGCCATGATTTAGCAATATAAAATGTTAAAAGGGAGAATTAAAATGGTTCTCATTTTCAAATTTGAGTCTTACTAAGATTTCTTTTGGACCCAATCATGTTGCAATCAGTGTTTTTAAATTTTTAAAACTCCCCCCCAACTCTCTATATGTACTTAATTTAATTTCTTAATTTAGATTATACTACTGAGGGACACAATGAAAGAAGGTTTGAATCTCTTATATGCAAAACCAAACTCTTTAACATCCAGTGCAAATTATTTCATAGATGACAAACTCATGGATTCACAAAGCTACACAAGTGCCTTCTTGTAAATAAGATTTGTGATTCTGATTAGAATTTGATCCATTTCAAAAACCAGCCTTGAGGATTTTTATGTCAATATTACTTAAGCACTTCTTAACTTAAATATGATTTGAAGCTGGTCTTTATATTATTAATAGATGAAATTCACAGATAAGATCTTTGGTAAGCCAAATGTATTCATAGAAATCGAAAAACATCAAAAGATCGAATTCTATATAAAGTGAATATAATCTGGATCCTGACTTTGTTAGAGCTATTTATAAAAAAAATAGGGAACTACTCAATAGTAGGTGGATAAAGATAATTTCACTGCTAAGATAAACAGGTGACACTTAAAAGCCTTATTTAAATACTACAGTCTTAGATGGGACAGACAGATAAAAACTATATATAGTATAATAAATTTATGTATAAATTGTTGTAGCATTGTGGTGTGCGTAACACATTTATACTAAAAAAAGAGAATGCTTGTGTGACATACGATGTGGAAAGGATTGCAACATCTTGAACAAACTTGGCAAAGTTTCCTGCACAGCCAACAACCCCAAGACAACAAAAGGACCATAAAACCTCTGTTACCCTGGCTACCATATCTTTGAACTGTTGCCCCCAGCAGATGTCATAAGGAAAACACAAAGTGAGTTGCTTAGTGACAGGTTTTCCTAAAAAGCTGTCAACACATGATAAAAGCAAAAAGAATAATAATAATAAAAATCATGAGATTAAATATGTGCATAATTCTATACATTAAACAAAGCTTTTCTTGAAACTTCTTTAGTTGCGTGTTTTAAATTTGCCATCTGATCTACTTTAAATGTATTTATGCTCACCGTCCACTGAGGAGGAATCCAGCAACCACCGCCAGCAGAACCAGAGCCAACGTGATGGCCACTGCTATTATTGAAGCCTGAGCACGCTCGCTAGTGGCAGTTACTGCCAAAAGAAAAAGATGTGAGATTAGACACACCGTAAACTCACAAAGCTGCACCTGGCCTCTATTGTTGATTCCATTGTTATGCTCCCATCTCTGGTGTACTCACAGTAAGGGCTCGTCTGGAATTCAAAACGTCGGCTAAATGCACCATAACCTGCAGAGGTCCTGGCTCGTACCTGCAATGAATGAATCATGAATCATTTCAATCATTTTAAATATTTCCATATTTATGCGTTGTATAATAGCTTTAAATACATTTCATTAGAGCTTAAATATAAAGTGGTATTTTATCTTTAAATCCATATCCCTTCAAAAAATATATGCTGTATAAATTAAAGTGCCTACATGTAGCAACACTATATGTCTCGAGACATCTATGCATTTTATTTGGGTGTTATGAAATATAAAAAAACAAAAAGTAGAAAAGTCGATTTTTCAGAAATGTTTTCAAATCAATTCTTGAAAGTCAGCATTCACATGCATTCAACCCTCTTTAAAACACATTAAATAAAATCCATAGCAATGAGCTGTCTTGTTCATCTGATGGGAAAACAGCCCTGCCATGTAAAATTTAGTTCAGTTTAAATTGAGCTTTTTTATGAAGGTTTTAAAGGTTGATCAGAGAAGATTGGTGAAACAAAAGAACATTTCTCAAACAAAATATTTCTCGGAGCACTATACACACCATCATTTCACAGATAAGGAAAATCTACAGTATTAGTACATGACTGTTCATCTACACTAAGAGGCTGAGCAACATCAATCAGAGAAGCTACCAAGACAGAAATTGGAACTCTGGAGGAGCAGAAATTCACAGCACGGGAGTAAAATCCCTATAATGTTGACCTTTATGGAATAGTGGGGAAAAAAAGATGCATTTAGTTCCTTTTACTCTTTACCACAAACTGGGCAGAGCAAACATGTGGAGGAAGGTGCTCTGGTTAGAAGATGTTGGCACCATAAGGCTTTTCTTCACACTTTTCTTCAACAGAAACAGAGAAGCTGAACAACGTAGCCAAATACAGGGCAGAAAAACTAAGACAGGATTGTTTAATTCACTTTAATGATTGATTTAATTATTCATTATAATTTATTAACTTTGTTTACACTTGTGTATACAAAATGACAAAATAAATCTGTCTAAGTCTTTAAACAAGATGGAGAATAGAATGATTTAGATTTAAACATATGAGTATGAAATCCAGTTTTCTGTATAGATATAAGTAAACATTTGTATTTTTTCAATGCTCATAAAGTACATTTGTGGTCCTTGCATGTTATGAGGCTTTTAAGTTTGAGTGCAATGAATGCTGATTATCTAATTCTGAGTATTTCCCTCTTACCTGGAAGATGTAGACTGAAGAAGGTTTAAGGCCATCCACCACCATCTCCGTTTCTTTAGACTTTATTATAGTATAACTGGAGTCCTGATCCTGTAGCAGTGGTAGAAAGGAATTAATCATTATCAAGTTTTTGTGTGCTTGAGCACACAAATACTCATTTATGTGCTTGAGCCACCTGTGCAGTATGGTGTGTAAAGTAAGTGATTTTTAAATTCCCGTGTGCGAGCATCGGTTTTCCAGCTGAAACCACATCAGGTTTAAACAAAACTAAATGCTCCTTCCATTAAGGCCGAGGCCATTAGCCGACCGCTGACCACAAACTGCACTCTGTTCTCATGTGAACCTGTAGTCTGACCTTCCATAAAAGAAGACATTAGAGCCAGGCACAGGGAAAAGGAGAAGCACACAGGAGAAACAGTGATATGGTTGGCAGCATCAAACTGCAGTGCTGCCCTTAATCCAATGTGAAAAATAATGTATGCATATAATAAAAAAGAAAAACTAGACAAGAGAAACATGTATTTGTACATCTTAGAGTTAGAGATGATAAATAACAATCTGACTCCAACTTTTCTTATTTTTAGCTAACAACCTTTGGAGTTCCAAAGATTCTAGTTTAGAAAAATCTTTTTATGTAGATTATTAATCAGTATTTAAATGGCTTTTTTGTTTTTGCATTACTAGAAAAAGGCGCAAGGATCAAAATGCTTTTAATTTGTGCACATAATAATGCACAGCACTTTTTGTTTTGCTGGCTCATATCCTTTTAGTAAATAAGTTGTATATAACTGAAATCATTCACCTTTAACACTAAACACCAATGCAAAAACTTTCCACTCTCAGCCACTCAGAAAGGTTCCAAGACCAGCCATAAAAGAAATATAATTTTGCATCCTTACCTTTTCAAAATATTTGATCTCATACTCGAGGATGATGCCATTAGGACGATCAGGCTCTGCCCAAGAAAGAGCGATGCTACTCTTTCCTGTATGGCCTTTCCTCACTACACTGACTGGGGAGGGTGCTGCATAAATAAACATACAAAAATAATGTCACATTATAGTTCAAAAATTCTAAAATATTATTAGAAAGACACTGTAGTGGATTGACCATCACAATTATAAAAACATTACATAAAAAACTATAACAGTAGAGTTACAGTTTAATTATACCCAATAATAGAAGAGTTTTGCAGTGTGATTTCTTTAACTTGCCTCCTCCAAATCTCCAGGACTTCAAAATCAATTAAGGTTTTTCTCCTTGGTCCACTGAACTCTAATTTAAGCAGATATATTGGTTCTGAAAGCAGATCTGCCGCTTAAGGATGTTTACGAGCTGGATGCACCTGTATCTAATTATGCAATCCCTTTATATCTTACAATTGAACAGGTGCATTTTGATGAGACGAGAAAGCCAATTCAGCACCTGCTCACGTCCAGGTGAGACCCGCTCCTAAAAGTCAAAATCTGGTAAGCTTTAAAAATTACCTCACACTACCAAACTTTCAAGACCAAAACCTTTGAAATAAACGAGATAAACACTGATGCAATCTTCATTTTCCTTTTATTTCCACTTTCGCCTACTGCTGTTCAATAAATGCATCCTTACTATTTTGAGGCCAAGTTGTGAGAGTTTCCATCATCCTTAGAGCCTTTCTGTTGTAATCTGAGCTGTTGCCATCTCTCGGAGGGACAGTTGGAGGGTCTCTGACACATAAAGAGCTTTTAACCAGGCAAAATGCTCCCCAAGGCAACATCTTGATGGCGAATAAGTGTTGATGCATCAGTGTGTGCGCGTGCATGTGCCAGTGTCCCTATTCTGCACAAATGCTAAACAGCGTTTGGGTTTCAATAGCCTCTGTGAAACTCTACAGGGAATAAATCTTTGCTACAAACAGTAACTAAATCCGGTGTGGATGGTTGCACAGCAGTGTTATCTGCGACATCTTAAAAGCCTGAAACTAGAAACTAAATTATATGCGCACACACTTTCACCACTTAAATTGTATAAAGGCAGGGATTCAGTGATTACAGAAGGGGCATTTTCTATATTTTCTCACACTGAAAACTTTACGCAACACCTCGAAAAAGGGATGCCGTTTTCAGGGCTGCATTAATCAGTAAAGGATGGTGCACAAGCATTTTGGGATGGCAGAATAAAAGATTTTAAAAATAAAAAAATTAAATATTTACCCTTTATATTCTGGACCTTATAATAATGGAGAGAATTTTTTTTTTATTATTATTATTAGAGTCGTCATTGTACTTTCTGACAAATTACATAAAAAAAAAAAGAATCCGCATAATTAAATAAGATATTTTATTTGCAAAACATTTGATACATAAGGCATTTTTCTATAATCTTTTAAACATTTTCTGTTCACTACATGCGTCCTACTGTTTAATTCTGGGTTTTCAAGAATAAAAATGTAACACTGATGATATAGAGATCTCAAAAACTCATGTATCAAATATGATAAAATTGGCTTTGAAGGGTTAAATGTTTTTATGCGTAATAAATATAACTGAAACACATTTTGAAGGTAACAAATATTTCTCAAAGACAAAGATTTCTAATAAGGATCAAAGCAATGATCAGTTTGAAAAAAATGTGGTCTAAAAATAAAGATGCAAAACATTTTTCTTTTTCACAAACACATTTTTAACAACATACAGTAATATATATGTTTTTATCTAAAAGAACATCAACAAAAAAGCCCCCTAAAAAAAACAGAGTACCTAGTCCTATACATTGTGTCCTACCTTTATACTTACAATAACATTTTATTATTAAGAGAATTCAAGTGTCAAAAAATTTAGAAAGTTTTAAACATGTGACTAAAATTAGTATCCCCTTGCTAGAGCTGTGATAAATCGCTAGTTGGATATCACACACCAAACCTGTGATCGCTGGTTCTCAACAGAATTTCTAATGCAAGAGTTTGGATGGAAGTAGAGCAGAGAAAGGGTGAGAGAAGTTTGGGACATTTTGTAAATGAGGGAATAGAAGACGAGGCAGTGCAAGAAAAAAGTGAGTATCAAAATATTAGTGAGAACATTGAAGAGACCTGCTGAAAAAGTGTTGGCAGGGCCCAAGCAACACATTTATTTTAGCAACAGAAAAAGCAGCGTGAAGAAGCTTCTTTGCTTGAAGACTTCCGCTCCCTGTTACATCTGCTAATGAGCACCTTCAGCACAGTAAAGCAAAACATGAATGTGTTTCAGCTACAAGCACGATATCAGAATAGCAGCCATTTTACTAATTTCATCTTAATTCTAACACATAATAAAAATAATAATTAAGAAAAAAGGTTAGAAAAGAGTAAGAAAACACTTTGGTTCATGATTACACACCCTCTTTTCGATAAGCAGGTTATTACACTGCTGAACATAACCCTGCCAGACTCCTATCTGTCTGCACCATCGCAAAAATCAATAGGGATCTTAGACTATCTGCTTTATTGTTTTATAATGAGTCTTTGAGAATGTCAGAAAGATGAGGGAACAATAAATCAGAGATGAGGGACAGAGATGCCTTTATTAGAACTTGTGATCTAACCTTTTTCCTGCCTGCTCTTTTGTGGTATTCTCAAAAAGGGCCCGATAGCCGACACACGGTCACTATTCAATGTATCTTAAAAGGGTGTTTGAGATGTTAGGAAATCTTGAAAATGTCATGCAATTAATTATCATTAAGACAATATCTGGAAAAGTTACCTACGCAAAAAAAAAAAAAAGTATAGATGGTTCACGATTCTCATAATACAAATTGATTTTATTTGAGAAAAGAGTTGTTATTTAGATAACTTATAATATTTTTACACTTCCCTATTACAATTAATGATAATTGTGAAACATTGCTTGAGGCATTTTTTAGTGCACTCTATGATGCTTCAAGAAAATAATGCCAATTTGAAGGGTTTCTGATGGGTTTATAAATGTTCATTTGTATTAATCAACAACCAACATTATAACCAAGAGAAAAACATAAATAAAGACAGTATATTTCCTATTTAAGAAGATTCTGGGTCAAAAACACCAAGCAACAACTTTCTGCATTTTATGCTTTACATAATAATTTGCCAGAAGCTCTATATGACAAAATGCAAAGGAGAAACCCTTAACATTGTTATTGTATGGAGTAATACTGTCTGAGAAAAGTATTTATGGGTGATGCTGCAAACAGAAACAGTGTACTCGTTTGAACATTGCGCACATATCTTTGATGGCTGTGAGAGTGAGCACCTCTGCCATCAGCTGCTTTGAGTGGCAGACGAAAGAAAGCGGGGAAAACACAGGAAATCAGTGTGTAGCAGCGGCACATGGAGCATACAGTATAGTTTACAACAAAGCCAGGGTCGAAAAAGGTGCAGAGCAGTCTGCCCTGCACTCCACAATGCGTGTTTGGCAATGATGTCATCTGTATTCACGGAAAATTTCTTTATTGCGTTAGTCATAGTATATCTCCACAGGTTAGCCTCAGTTTAAATTGGGTTCTTTTAACTCAATTCAATATACTTCACTAATTCCAAAAGGAAATTAAATGTTGTAGTAAGTCAGTTTTCTTTTTTAATGAGTGTTTGTAGGATTTTCTGTAGCAGTCCATCTTGTGTTGGTGTTTAACGATCTTCTGAACAGGATGCTCCTGGTTATCCTTAATCTTCTTCGGTTTATGAAGAATTATTTGGGATTTTATCTGCTGAGATTCTGGCGAGTTCCTACAACAGAGCTGGCATTCAATAGAAGTCTCTCTAAGACTTTCCTGATGTGGGATATCAGGGTAACAGGTCTTTAGTCCTTGAGGACTATTGGAAGAGTTTGATACTGAAACAAGGCAAGAGGTCTTCGAAAACAATAAAAAAAATCCTCCTATGTAGGGCTAAGGTTTAAGAGGTGCTGTAGAATCCTGCAGAGCTACTCAGAGCAGGTCTTCAGGACTCTGGGGATAACAACATCTGGACCTGTTGACTTATTTCTAATCAGTCTCTCCAGGTGGAAGGAGGAGAGAGCAGCACCATTTTCTGAGTTGTCTGAGAACATCTCCATAGAAGCAGAAGGGTCCATGGGAGAGAAAACATTTAAGCTGTGACAGAGAAGGATTGGGTCAAACGAGGGGAGGGGGGTGGGGGGTGGGGGGGAATCCATTTGACTGTGAGCAAGAGATAAGGATACCGAGCTTATTCCTGAACTGTACCTATTGAAGAATGAGTTCAGTTCACTGGTTCTGTTCAGACTTCATCTGTCTGATCCTCCTTCTGCTTGAAGCCTGTGATCTTCTTCATCCCTGACCACACATCTCTGATGATATTCTACTGGAGCTTGCCTTGCAGCCTCTTACTGTTTGCCTCCTTGTTTTCTCCTATCTGGACCTTAAAATGCTTCTCTATACCATTCAAAAATTTTCTGTGTCCCTTCCTGAAGGCTCTTTTTTTCTTGTTTAACATTTCCTTTAGATCACTGGTTATCTAGGGCTCATTATTTGGGATGCATTTCACCGCTCTGATTGGAACTGTGTTATTTATGCAGAAGTTTATGAAGTCAGTCACACACCGATGTCCTCTCCATGTGACTGATACAGTGAGTTTTAGTCTGTAGCATCAAAACAACCTTGCAGGGCTTCTCCATTTGTTTTTAAGGCAATTTGTCTTTTATATAGGGTCTCATACTTCAAGTAGAAAAAAAAAATCAAGATTGTGATCTAATTTCCCAAGAGGAGGAAGAGATGTATTAGTCTCTTTGGATATAACAAGCTCAAAGTTTATGATAAAGCAGCTGACAGACTGCTGGAAGCTTAGCAGTAAGAAAGAAAGTGAGCGATTGAAAATTATTAGTTAAGGGCAAAGATGCATTTGGCTTTAGTTTAGAAACAACAGAACTGAAGACATCACTGATGGACTTGGGAACATATAGGGAGTGGGAACTTGGAATTGTCTGGTAAGGTAAATAAATGCCAAATAAACTAACTAAATGTTAAACTAAGAAATCAATTCTTTCAAAAATGTTAAAAAACAATCCACTGGACTTTGTTTCCAAGTTTGAAGACGTTACGCTTCCCATCCAGGAAGATTTTTCAATTCAAAATGTTAGAAATACTGTTGAGTTCCAGGCTTTATAGAGTGGACCAAAACAATGCCTTATTTTGGCTTAGAAAACAAGCAAATTGAATGGGAAGACCCGTTTGTCTGGGTGGATTATTTTTTTAACGTTTTTAGAATGACTATGACCTGGATGACTGAGAATCTTCACCAGCAATTACCAGAATGATGAAGATTCATTACTGGAATGTACCTTTGTAAATCAAATGGGGTTAAAAAAACAAGCCATTTCACCCACAAAATTAGAATTTGAAAAAATGTGCAGTAAATTGTAACACAGTATGTCAACAACATATAAATACAATGATAAAACATCAATGTTTACAGTTCTTCAGAAGGAAAAAAGAAAAAAAGAAAGGGTGGTTTACGGGTAGGTTGTCCATGAAAAAATACCTTAAAGGTCTATTTATATTTAATTAAGTTAAGCCTGCCCTTCATAAATCAATTTTACCAAACGCAGCAATAATGTAGCAGATTTTGTTGTCCAACTTTTTCCTTATTTGCTGATCGTTTTTTGGACTTTCTCATATGAAAGCCCTCCACCTCAATTCTCCAAATTGACTTCTTAGCCTCTTTTTTTACTCCTGAACATTTAATATTCCTCACCCACCTCCACACAACGCTTTAATGTGCAGCAGGACTTCAGAGATACTACTGTGAAATCACCTATTTTATGGTTTGCTTATCACATGTGACTCTTTGCACAATCAAACAGCAGGTCCTCCATGTCTACCTAGCAGTTAGTGTTTTCCACTCTCATGTCCCTCAGGAGTTCTCTTTCAATGGCTTTTTACTAACAAAGGCAAAACACAGCCAGCAGGAAACAGAACACATACTGAACACAAAATTAAACATGATTTGCATATCGCAGTGATCAAGGTCCTTGAGTGAAAGGTTGGCTGATAAGAGGAAGTGAAGCTGTACATAACAAACATCGCTTGTGGAGTAATTTTACATTTACGAGGACTCACTGTAGCGTCATAAAATGACAGCAGTAATTAATGCTTCTCTGTTTATGGTTCTACAACTGTTATGAATGAATATGTAACATTACAATTTCTCACAAAACAATCACAAACTGAATTGCATTTTGAAAGGATTTTTATTTTCGATGTACCTATATGAATTAGAGCAGAGCGTTAAAACTGATTATTGTTTTATAATTAATTTTTACCAATAAGTCTGAGAAACATGCTCGGCAAATTGACCCTTAAAACTACTGCTGCAAATTACTAAGTACTTCCCTACAGTACCAGCTTTGCACATGTAGAAACGGAATATTACTTCTACTTTGCAAAATAGCTTAAGCTCGTGAATATACTGATCTAAATATGCTTCAGTAGCTCCAACTATATGTTAAATTTTGTTGTTTGCTGTTTCGTGAAACTTCATCACAGCCTCAAATTTCCTACAATTATGCTTGAAACTGTCTTTGATAATTTTTACTGATGTTTTAGTAAATCAATGAAAGGATAGAATGGCTTTATTCAAAATGAGATGAAGGTTATACCCAGGTGAACCTCTAAAGTGAAGGCACTACATGTTATTGAGAGGTGTCATCTTAAAAAGGGCTGTCAAAAATACTTTTTACTGTAGGTATTTGTAAATACTTTAAATCAGCGGATTGAAAGTAATGCAGCCACTGCAACAATGGCTGATTGCTGCATTAAAAAAAAAATAAATAAAAGTAATCACTTCCTATAGCTGTTTTGACAATTGTATTCCACCCCTGTTTTACTGATCCTAAAGTAAGAATATGATCAACTTTACCGATTTTGATTGTTTTTCTTTTGCTTTTAAACAACACCATTTCTCAGTTTATTGTATTTTAATTATAAGATCTAATTAACATTTCTTAGTTTATGCTTCTCTTGAACAAAGCCCCAAGATTTATGTGCTACATTTTTTTTTTTACATTTAAGTTATATATTTTGTGCTAATCAATATCACAGTTTTATGTTATCTTTAATACGACATTAAGCTATTCTATTTTGATGCAGTTGTGTAATCTTGTAATCCTGTTTCATCTTCAAAAATCTAGTTAGCTTTTTTTCCAAACACATCCATGCACTTCACTGAGTATAAATAAAATCAGAGAAAGGTTTGGTACATCTGCTTTGATGCAAAGATAGAACTGATATTATTACACCAATAAAACTGAAACAGTTAGAATTTTAATTCATGTAATTATAGCCAAACAATTATTAATCATAGCTAAACAGTTTGAAAAAAGATTTCTTTTTAAATATCTTTTATAAAAACAATTCAGAACAATGAATTACTTACAGCAACTCGAGCCTTCTTCCCTATTGTCAAAGAGCTTTAAAAAATATATGTCTGCATCTCTGGTGTGTAATCTAAATTAATCCCAAATCTCCATTTGATCCCGAGACTGGCTAATCCAGCCACAACTTTAATAACCCAAATCTGAGTTCTATAGCCTAGTGTAATCCACTCAGTCTGCTGACAGCTACAGTGGCAATACATTTAGAGGGCTGTCAGTGGTCTTCACTGTCAGTCACAATCTGCCCCCATCCTATATCTAAAGGCATCCGCCTTCAACACATAGCATATCTGCTATCTGCCCTTTTACAACCACTACTACTCTGACTGAGGCTGCTAGTAATACTACCTACTGTTCTTTGTATACCAGGATGCCATCTGTTCAGCGAAACATAGCCAGTCCAATCCTTCAATGCCACTTTTTTCCCCCTTTTGCGTTTCCTCCAGATGGAAGCCTAGGGGAGAGGACCTGTCATATCTTATGTCTCTCATTTCATTACGAAGTGAGCTAACCGGATCATTATAACCAAATAACACAAACTCCACAAGTGCATTTCTCCTATGAGGATGATGATGTGTCAACATCCCAAATCTGCAGTTATATTGTAGACTCACAGTTAAAATCAGATACTTACATACAATGGATAAAAGTATATATGCAAACTAAACATTTTTAAAAACATGTTTAAAACTTGTTTTACAATAAATATTTATATTTACTAAATGCAGAGTTTTTGTAGTTTTTACAATTAAAAGGTTAATGAACCGTATATTTCTTCAGCATTTAGTAAAATATATATTTTGTGGCTTGAGATCAAGGTTTCTGGTTCTCTCCTCAGAATGAATTTTTTTTAATTAACATGATACTGCCACCACTGTACTTCACAGGTGGGATGTTGTTCTCAGGCTCGGAAATTTTACATTTCACATAAGGTTTATACGTGCATATAATTGTTAGGACAGATAACCCTGCCATTTTCTTGCATCTGGAACTCACAACCAAGGATGAGCCACCTTATCATAATAGTGCTTAGATATTTGGTCAGTAATGTCCACATGCAAACCTCAGATGGTTACCAAAATACAAAAAGCATATTAAATATCCGAGCACAGACACAAACAAACAGGAACACTGCTGCATTGTGCCAATAGAGGCATACTATGCAGTTAACCATGAATATCTAGCTCTCTGTGATCTGTGTCAACTTCTTCTCATTCTAACTGACAGATAACAACTGAATACATCTACAACTGTTCTTAAGGAGTGGATGGAAGCGAGAGCAGATGTTACAGACCTCCACAGAGTGGAGTGTTTTTGAAGCTTCAGCCACTGACCTAGATTCATTTCCTGAAACCTCCATCATGTACGTATCAGTTTTGGAAAGGACAAGTGAGCTGGACAAAACCTTTTACTTTAAACAACAACAAAAAAGAAATGGTTTAGTTCACATGTAGAGTATTTGCATCAGATCAAAGAGGTTATAGCAGAGAGGACCCTGGGCCTGTATAAGCCGACAAAAAAGACAACCTGAACAAGGATATCAGGGCAACTAAGAGAAGCTAGAGTCAATCTGTCAAACTCATCAAGTTAAAAGATGACTATACAGTCAGTGGCCAAAGAACCCCCACTTCTTTCTATAAAATATTGAAACACATGGATGCACATAGCACTACATCTACCCTTTATCTTTTTTTCCTGTCTGCATCGTGAAACCATAGTCAAATTCATTGTGCACAGAATCTAAGTTAACAATGATGATTCTGATTCAGTTGTTCCATACCTACAGATGACATGCTCAACAAACTGTTTTATCACAATGATTTATTACTGCTGGCATGAAAGCAGAATAAAACCTGCGCATCATGTGCAAAATCCATCCACACACAACAGCTTGAAAATCAGGAAGATGCAATATGCCACATATTTCTGAGAATCTTGTCTGTGGAATGTTTCCCCAAAAATGAAGGGACCAAGCTGCTTTTTTTGATAACGTATCTGAAAGCAATCAAAAAAAAAAATACTGCTAACATGGACAGTTAATAGGTGGAAATTAATACAGTGACAAATCTGTTGAATAAATACTGTGATAATTTGATCATCTGGAGTCTTTTTTCCCCACATTCAGCTAATTCTTAATGGAAACAGACATAATCATCTGTGCTGGTCCATAGGACAGAAAAACTGCTTGGCAATAACCAATAATCTTTTATTCTAATGGAAAAGGATTGTTATGCCAAATGGTTTTTCAGTGTATGAAAACAATAATTCTAACACATTAACTGGAAAAAAATGCAAATGTGAGATTTAACACCTACCTGCCTGATTGGTCGTCACATTAAGTGTCACATACTGCTTTGCATGGTCTTTGGCGAGCTCTGACACACCATTGACAGCCTCCAACAAGAAGCTGTAGTTGGTGTGCGACTGCAGGTCGGCTACCATCACCGAGGTGTTAGACAGGCCAAGTCTGCGTGGCAGAAACCGCACGTTGGGGCCGCATTCCTCCAACCCTCGGCCATCAGGTAAAACACGTCTGCACAGGATGTTGTAGCGGACATCTTTCCTACCCCCCGTCTCCATTGGAATAGACCACTCCAAAAAGACGCTGGTTTCGTTGACATTGGAAATTGCATTCCGGGGTGCGGAGGGAGGGCCTAAAAAGGTTAAAATTGCTTAGATAATTTAAAAAAATAAAATAAATACCAGGAATGGTATAATTTAGCAATCCGATAACTAAAGATTACAGTGAGGAAAGTCATATAGGAATAATAAGTTTTCTGCAATCTGTACATAGTGAGGATTGAACTTTTAAACCACCAGAACCTATTATTAGTGTAATCTCTGTGAACTTATTAAGTGCATCCAAAGCTTATTTTCTTTCAAGCTATGGTGATAGATAATATTCTTAGAAATGTAAACAACATGTTAATCTTGCAGCAGAAGGCATCATTTCCCTTGAATAAAAAAAAAAAAAAAAAAATCAGACCACTATATTATTTATTTTTTTTGCTAAAATGTTTTTCCAATTACTATGAAACTGTAGTATTTTTATCTAACATCATAATGTCAAAAAAATATTTTTGGGCCTAGTGTCACGTAACAAAATAAAAAAAACAAAGTTCTGGATAAATCTTACGTGTGCAGGCCATATTAGGATGGTCAGATTCAATCTTATAGTATCCATCTTCACAGCTACAAGACGTGGCCCCCATCTGCCTGGCCACACTGTGGGGTGGACATTTACTGCATGCTGAAGACTCCAGCTGTGAGCGGTAAAATCCCATTTTGCAAACTGAAAGAGAGAAAGAGTCTGACATGAGTACTTGAGTGAAGGAAAAAGATTGGTAGAGTCCTTGCAAACAGACTAACAAGGCAGGAAAAAAAAAAGAGGAGTAATGCAAATCTGTTTCGTTCTGTAAGTTAAGTTCGTTGAGTTGGATTTTCAAGTTTGTTTTTCATTAGAGATAAGAAATATAAAGACAGAGAAGGAAACTTTGATTTGCCTTATTTTCCAGTTTCTTTGTTTTTCTTTTGAAGTCAGATTTCTTCTCATGTTTCTCTTGGGATTATTCTTTTAGTGAACCCACACATGTTTTGTCGCATTGTTCGTGTTATATTGTCTTTATCAAAAATGTGAGGCATTTCCCCTAGAATCTGCTTTTTTTCTCCATCCTATTTCAAAGGCTTCAGTTCAGCAATATACAAGTTGCACCTGTCAAATTGTTTGCACTTACATCTGCTGCACAATAATGGCGCCCTGCGTGAAGCACATACAGAACAAACATAAATAGCAAGTAAAGAAACAGCGTTTTTTTTTCTTAAAAAACACACATCTGATCTAAGTGGGGAAGGGAGACAGGAAGGTGATGGAGTCAGGATTTTAACTCCCAAGAATATATTAACTATTTGTTGCCTTGTCAGCATCTCTGGGGCCCAACAGTCATTGACTAAGAGCTTCTTTCTGATTTCAGAGCTTCATCCAAACAGAAGTACTCACACACTACTGACAAGAATTAATAGGCAAAAAGGAACAGATTTACTATATTTAAGACGTAACATAAACAGCAGTACAACATGACCAGAACCTGCTCATGGTCCCTCGTACTCGTTACAGGACCAGGGGAGATCGCTCCTTTCAGGCGGTTGCGTGGCGCTCTGGAACGATCTTCCACTTTCCTTGCGCTTACTTGATTTTGTTGATGTTTTAAAAGAGTGAACTGAAAACCTATTTGTTTAAGAAAGCTTTTTCATTCCAGGTGATTAAGGGTTGTTTTATGACCGTCTTTTCTGACTGCAAATGTATCTTATTTGTATTTTGATTTTTGTGAAGCCCTTTTTGACCTCTATGTCTGTGAATGGTGCTATACAAATAAACATTACTAAACATTACATAACTTACAGTGTGCTGTATAATATACTATTGTAATTTAGTCACATGTGACGGTATAGACTGTTTAAGGTTACGAAAAAGGGTCCAAAACGACTTCAACTCCTTTGACTAGGCCACTTGAACCCTTTTTCTGATCTAAAACAATATTATATTTCAGTAGATCATGCCATAAAGTATCACCTTTTTACATATATCATAGCCTAAAGACAGCTTTCCAAAAACTCAAGTCAACCACAGTTTATTTGTGATTTAATAACATTTCCACATAAGGTCAGGTTGGCTTAGACAGTTTTTTCTCCTCAGCACAAGAATTTAACATAAAAAACACAAACACATCACTTCTATACTTAGCTGTTTATCTAAAATGTGTTCATCATCTGAAACATTTGATAGTGGAAAAACGGAAAACAAGAACAAAACTATTATAGCTCCAGAGTACGTGTCAGGAAGGCAGGGGTATATGAGAGCTTCATACATGGAGCTCTTTCTGCTGAACTACTGTTGGTATTGTTTGGCTGTTATGAAGCGTACAATCCATACATGATTTAATGACAACTTTGAAGACCGCAAGATAAAGGCAAAGAAAGGAAAAACAATAGTAAAATAGGACAAGACTAAATGGAAGGCGGGATTATGAGCATGAGACATGGTGGTGGTGGTGGGGGTGGACAAAGGAGAATAAGAAAGGAGACAATGGAGGATTGGTAGGATGGTGTATGTGCTGCGTGTGCGTCTGAGTGTGTGTTTAAGTCATTAGGCAGCACGGCTCTGATTCACCTTGACAGAACCTTGGTCTGTTGTCATGGAACATTAGTCTTGAAAAATTCTCCCTCTGCCCTGGATCACTCCCAGTCTCACCTCAGAATCGCTCCCCACTCTCACACACACACACACACCACACACACACACTACCCACACAGCAGAAAAACACCTGTGATTGAAAAAATAATAATAATTTGATATTTGGCAAACCTAACAAAGTGAATGATTCTTGTGCTGATTACTTGTCAAATTCATTTAAAACACTGTTTTATGCAGTCTTAGATGTACTTTCCTATCACCATAGGTGGCTTGTGTCTTTTAGAACAGCAGTACTCCTTTGTCAGGCAATTACAAAACACACACACACACCTTCAGATTTCTTTCAGTTTCAGGCCATTGTCTTGATTTTCATTCATTTGGGAAAAAAAGAATTTCACATTACAGGCATACACCCCACTGAAAAAAATAAATAAATTCACATCTTATCCCAAATGCTATGATGATACGCCGCTTTATGACTGTGCACATAATGACCAGTTTAGAAGGCTGACAATTACACTAGAAAATATCCTAAAAAGGTAACAAATATAATTACACACAGAAATACAGTGATAAAAAAACTGTCTACTCTGTAACTAAGATCGCTGATTAACCTCCATTTTTTTTTTACAGCTGTCTTGATCCCTTAAAAGAAATGCTAAACCCAGTGAAGTTACATTTATGTGTTCCACATTTTTAAGGACTAATAAAACAAGCGCAGCCATTAATTGCTTTGAGGGAAGGTGACATTTATTACTAATGTAAACCTCCTCTCTAGTCTATTATCAAATGTCCAGGGACCAATCAAAGACGGAGAGAGAATTGAAACAGAAAAACCTATTCAACACTATGGAATCCCCTGTTTTTATACCGTGTGATATAGATATGTCAGGCTTTACTTTTTCTCTTATTGTAAACTAGCACCTGCTTTTGTTCCTTGATGTGTTGCTGATCCAGTAAACAGTCTGGTAGTGTAAGGAGAGCATTCAGCTGTATCATGGGACTCAAGCTTCATGTAAGTTATTATTCCTCACATTTGGAGTATTTGACATGCTGTACACCACTCAAAGCAGCTGAGCAGCTGTAGATTTTTTTTTATTGCATTGACATTTTCAGTATTTATTTTAGCTAAAGAAAATCTGCATTTCTACCAGAAAACTTTTTTAATGATCTGATAAAATAGAATCTAGAGTTCTTCAGTTGTAGAGTGCCTCATTTTTGACTTTTGAAATAGTGTAAAATAATAAATTACATGCAACTAAAGGAAGATTTCTTTAAGGTGTTTAAAATCCCTAAAGGTTCTATAAATAGATAGACTTTTTGAGCTAAACAACAAATGGTTTGCAATGGCATGATGTTGCAAGTTATAATGACAAGGGGTAAAATAACTACATTTACAGTGTCATGCAATAACTTGACTGTCTTTTTTTAATTATGGATTTAATAGTTTAGAGACAAAAAGTTGGACTGAGCCAAACAGTTCAAGTTGAAGGCTAAAAATGTTAAAATGTTTTTTGTTTCTTCAATTTAAATAATTTTTATTTGTTCATGTATTTATTCTTTTTTTTTTTCTTCTAATCTGTAATCAAAATTTTTCTCATCAGATTAGAATCAGCTGCATTGCAGTAGCTCTTAAATTATAATATTTTGGTAAAGTACAGAAAAGAATTATTGATACATACTTATCCCTTTCAGGGAATACCATTTAGCAGGAGCCTTATGAAATCCTATGGATTATTTCTAAAATTAAAAAGGTGTAAACAATGACTTAATCCGAAAAAAGGTCTTAGAAGAAAAAGGAAAATATCTAATATTTGTTAACAGAACACATTTATATTTGATTAAAGGCGTATGATAAATTTTAAGCAATCAAACTATAAAGTGCACTGAAAAGGGATCAATCTATTATTTTTAATTGAAGATTTTTTTAAAACCACATATAAAAGTTTACATCTATATTGTAAAACTGAAATACAAGAAGGTAGTGTTGCCGTTCTCCAGACAGCCTTGGTCTTACGGTGGAAATGAAACGGTTAACCAAACTAATTTAATTCACAAGGTTGTGTCTTACTATTATCAATAAGTATACCACCAACGCGAAAAATATGAGCATAAGAGAAAAATATGGTATTGTTTCATAATTTTTTGGCAAGGGTGCCGCCATGTTGAAGCACTCATGCTATGACATCACAGGGTTGGTTTGCTTTGTAGCTTCCAACTAGTATCTACGGATCGAACCAAACTGCTTAGAAGGCTGAAAAATGGCAGGTCCCTTGCCTAAAATGTATTAAACAATCCTACTTTTTTATGTTTATTTGTTTCTAATTTGTGTAATTAATGATAATAGTTAAACATAATGAATTGGTAGTTGGGTTAACCATTTCATTTCCATTTTAAGCTCACATTTTAGGCACAGAAATTCTCTCAGATTTAAGACTAAAGCCTAAGCTTAGACTACTCTTACAAAAATAAAACATGAAAAACAATAAAAAACATAAATAGTCTCTTTCATACAGGTTGCATCAATAATAATAAATGCGTTTTTTGGCAAAATAGGGTTTCAGTGCTTTTATTTTTTTGTGCTTTTATTCCAGATTTATGGACCATTAGAAAAAAAGCTGCTTCTCCAGCCAGGGTGATGTGATCTACTTTCTTAGTTTTGGTTGCTCTGTAAATCTCAGTGGCACCACTCTAAAATCATTAGTAACTCAATGATCTGGTCTGGTTTTGCTACAGTTCTAACGGATTTCTAGTTGTGCAATCGATCTATGATGCTACACCCAAAACTCCAACCAGTGAATCAGACCATCCCTGCAAAGGTTAGTCAATATCAGGGTGTGACTACTTCACAGGGCAGATTTAAGGTACAAAAGTACTGGGTTGACTTTAAGCACTGATGCGTTCAAATGGTTTTAAAAAAGCAGACAATGACATTATTCTTATAAAAAGATGCTCACTCAAAAGATTGTCTTCATGTGCACTGCGTCAATGTCAGAAAGAAAAATGGAAATGTATTAATGTCTACTTAGACTCAAAGGTTTGCATCACTGTATATCAAATGGTTGATTACTAATTAAAATATTCTAATTATCCTGTAATAA